GGGGGCAGCAGTGTCTCTGCGTCCGGTAAAAGGGGAGAGCCGTGCCACCTGCCTGCCCCAGGGCCTACCAGCAGGGCTGAGGTTTCTGCAGGGGTGCATCCGGAGCTTCTTTAGAAACAGGCCAAGGGCTTTGCCCAAGGCCATCCGGGACCCCTGAACGGCAAAGGCTTCTCCTCCCCATAGTGGTGGACGGCTGGTCTGCCTGCCTGCCTGGCGCTTGCAACTCATTTCGTGGCAAGGAACCTTGAGAAGGGGTTACAAAGCCAGGTTAACGAAACTTCCTTGCTGTATTCCCGTGACGCGGTGGGCCAAGTGGCAAAAACAAATCGGAACTCAGTGCAGTGACTGGCTTAACGCAAGAGTCTAAGCGCAGGCCAGGTTCCCCTGCTCCCTCCTCTGGCATGCCAGGGTTAGTGAGATGGAGGGGCTGGGCTGGGAACGAGGAGGTCCAGGTTCACCTTGCTGGCCACTGACACGTCCTCTTCCCAACCTACCCCACGGGGTTGCCTTGGGAATAAAATTGGCGGCAAGAAAAAAAGACAGGGTGTAGGCCTAATGAGTAACTCTGGATGTGGGAACATTTGTTAACCCATAGTTTGCTGAATCACGGTTTATAGAATGATAGGCTTGTAGAACAGGCTACTGTCCCCCTCCCCTTTTAGCTGAGCATGTTGGCTAGGCCAAGTGCCCCCGTGGCAGGAGGTTGAGAAGGTGGTGCTCTAGGGGCCTGGCGCTGCCCAGAGGCCCTCACGGATTGTCTTCCTGCAGGTGGGGAGGCCCAGCAACATTGGCCAAGCGCAGCCCATCATCGACCAGCTGGCGGAGGAGGCTCGAGCCTTCAACCGCATTTACGTGGCGTCGGTGCACCAGGATCTTTCTGACGACGACATCAAGAGTGTCTTTGAGGCCTTTGGGAAGATCAAGTCCTGCACGCTGGCCCGGGATCCTACCACGGGGAAGCACAAGGGCTACGGCTTCATCGGTAAGCCCTGGGGCCAGCTGCCCCACTGCTGGGGGCCCAGAGCCGGCGCTCAGTTCTCCATGTTGCTCTTTCTGCCCGTTCAGAATACGAGAAAGCCCAGTCCTCGCAGGACGCCGTCTCTTCCATGAACCTCTTTGACCTGGGGGGTCAGTATCTCCGTGTGGGCAAAGCGGTCACCCCGCCCATGCCTCTGCTGACCCCGGCCACCCCGGGAGGCCTGCCCCCTGCAGCAGCCGTAGCCGCAGCTGCTGCCACGGCAAAAATCACCGCTCAGGTAAGAAGCAAGACCCGGGGAGCGGAGTTGGGGGGGAGGGCTTGATCCAAGGGGAGGCGGTAGCCCTCGCGGACAGATTGCCCTTCCTGCCATGCCCCTCTCCTTGACCAGCAGTAGCACCAGTCCCACATCTGAGGGCAGAGAGCAGCCTACATCCCCTTCCCTCTGCAAGCTCCGGCAGGCTTCCACCCTCCGCATCAGGGAGCGGGAGGGGACCGGAGGCTCAGCTTGTGTAGCTGCTCTGCAGGCTCCTGTGTGGAGCGCCTGTCCCTCCTCCCTCTGCTGCCCCGGCTCGAGCCTGGCTAGTGTCTCAGGGACTGGGCAACGAAACCATCAGGCAGGCAAAGGCGAATACTGGCCTGAGAGGCCCCTCCCGCTCTGGTGGGCCCAGGGAAGCCGATGGCTGTTTACCGCCAGAGGACGAGCCCCCAGCACGGCCTCCGCCACACCAGCGGGGCTTCTCCCTGGGGGGGCTCCCATCTGTGGGCTTCCTCGGGTGCGACCTTGGGGTGCAGAAGGAGCCCCATGGCTGCAGGAGCCATAGCAGAGCTGGCTTTTCTCTTGTAGGAAGCCGTGGCAGGGGTGGCGGGTGCCGCCGTCCTTAGCACATTAGCCACCCCTGGACTGGTGACCCCAGCCCTGACCCTAGCGCAGCCCCTGGGGGCCTTACCGCAGGCTGTGATGGCAGCTCAGGCACCAGGAGTCATCACGGGTGAGTGGCCTGGCAGCTGGAATGTCTGAGTTCCCGTGGTTATCCCCTCCCCCTTGCGCAATTACCTGATTGCCTTTTGGGTGTTCAGCAACAGAGCTGCATTGATGGCCATTTGCAGAGTGCTGTGGTCACATGACTGTGCATTTTACGAGAGTTTTGCCCGCTTCCGGTTTTCAGCAAAATTGCATCACAGTGAGCGATAGATTTGTTTCATAACTGCTTCAAAAAGTCATAAAAATCAGGTCGATGATGTGACTGACCCGTTTTACGATTTATGACTGTTAACAGGCAGGCTCCATTACAGTTGTGGCTGGAGGATCACTTGTCTTTCCTTCCTTTCTGTGAAGCGGAAGGACAGAGAGAGTCACCTGAGCCTTGGGGGGGGGGTATTGAGCTTCTTCCTGAGAATTTTCACTTCTTGTTGATACAACTGTCTGCCATAGATGCGGTTGGCTGCTGTGGATGTTGTGAGTTGAGAGACTGCCCGTTTCTCTAAATTTGGGTTGATTGTGCGTATTGATCTGGTGGGATTACCATCCTTGCTTGAGATGCCGTGGATAAAATTCTGTTTAGCTTTGGGAGTGGAGCATGAGGGCACATGGGTGACTAGTCCTTTTCACGTGTGTGTTTTTCCTCCAGGTGTCACGCCAGCTCGCCCACCTATTCCTGTCACTATTCCCCAGGTGGGTGTGGTGAACCCCATCTTGGCCAGTCCCCCAACGCTAGGCCTATTAGAGGCCAAGAAGGAAAAGGAGGAGGAGGAGGTTTTCCAGGAATCTGAAAGGCCAGAGATGCTCAGTGAACAGGAGCACATGAGCATCTCTGGCAGCAGCGCCCGCCACATGGTGATGCAGAAGCTTCTCCGGAAACAAGAGGTGAGTCCTCCAGCAGTGCCAGTGGAAGGGCTGCCTGGGATTGGCCTCCAAACTAAGCCAGTCATGGAAGAGCGGTGGACCACCTCCCATCTCGGTGATGGAGGGAACAAAACAAGGCTGGGCGGAAGGCGACTCCCTTGAACGCCTCGAGTCCTGGGAGGTGACCTTTCCCTGCTTTTTTCTTCACCACAGTCAACAGTGATGGTTTTGCGGAACATGGTGGACCCCAAGGACATTGATGATGACTTGGAAGGAGAAGTAACAGAGGAATGTGGCAAATTTGGGGCTGTTAACCGAGTCATCATCTATCAAGAGAAGCAGGGTGAGGAAGAAGACGCCGAGATCATCGTCAAGATCTTTGTGGAATTCTCCATGGCCTCAGAGACTCATAAAGCCATCCAAGCACTGAACGGGCGCTGGTTTGCGGGCAGGAAGGTTGTGGCTGAAGTGTATGACCAGGAGAGATTTGATAATAGCGACCTCTCTGCATGAACTCTTTCACAAAGAGACTTCTCTTTCATTTTTCTCAATGACTCCCTTTCCCCGTGTTTTCCGGAATATTTTTGGACCAGCATTATCCTGTGTTGTACACGTAGTTGTTGGTAAAGATGCCAGGAAGAAAATCCTTCTGTTGTCCGTTGTACGTGTGAGAGCATTACCTCCACAGTGGCAAAATGGGAATGCAGGTTGGGACAGGTAGCCATTCCCAGGCAATTTATTTATTAGGCACCAGATCCCAAACAGTAAGTTTGGTGGTGTTGCTGCATTTTCACTTCAGACTAAAATTGACCTCCTTGTCAATTCCAACAAATTGAAAAACACCAGTTTTTAACAAGAAAACCAGTACATTAGTCTTTGCTTAACGTCTCTTCCACACTAAAGGTTTGCCCTGTCCCCCGTCCACCCCTAGGGGAGCAGTGCTCCTTTCCATTTCTTAGCCGAGGGAGCCAGCCTTATCCAAAGACATTTCCGTGGTCATGCAGCGAGCACGACTGTACGTCAAGACACGGAATGTGGTTATCTTCCCACCAAAGTAGTACCTATTTACCTACTCACATTTGCATACATTTGAGCTGCTAGGTAAGCAGGCACTGGGGCCAGGAACGGAAGCTTGCCCTGTCATGCAGCACTTGGATCTTGAACCCAGGCTGTCTGCTCTCCAGCTGACAAGCTCCAGGAGCTACCCTACTCTTCTTTCCCGCTACATAAAACAATGAGAGCCTCCAGCCATGTTTGGTCCAGAATCCCATTTCCTGCAAGGGCTGGCCTGGAAGGGGAGGAAGTGGAAGTGGGGAAGCCCAGAAGCAGGACAGACCATCTTCCTTGTGAGGGAATACGCCTGCCCTAGTAGGTAATGGTCCCTCTGGGGTCCCCCGTGGTTAGGTCTCGGAAGACCCTAGGTAAGGCGGGCCCCTGGAGGGAAAGAAGGCTGCTTGCGCTGGAGGAAGGGAAGCCCCCACCCCCTCAGGAGATTCAGCCCACCGGGCTAGTCTTCTGGGCTGGCTCGGGTGTGTGTGTGTGTGTGTGTGTATACGTCCCCATTGTGTTGGGAGGTAGATCTAGGGGCCTGCGGGGGGGGGGCTCTGGTCTCTTGGGCCCCCTCCCCCGCCGCTGCACCATTCAGGGAGGCCTGGCTGGGAGAGCCCAGGGCGGGCGTGGACGGAGGCGGACAGCATCCAGCTGCAGTTTCCAGCCGCCCAGGGCTCACCATCCCGGAGCCAGAGCAGGAGCAGCGCCCGCCTTTGCACGGGTCCCTCTTGGCCGCCCCCGGACCCGCAGCCCTGCTCCCTCTATCTCGCCCTCGGCCGCTTCCCAGCTGGACTACTGCCGTGCGCTCCGCGCGGGGCCGCCCTCCGAGATCCTGTCGGGATTGCGCCGGCCGCTTGCGGGGCCGCCCCTCTCGGGGGTATCTTCCGCCCCACGGCATTGGCGGCGGCGGGGCCCAGGGCCGGAGAGCTCCTTCCGCTGCTGCCTGGACCGGAGCGGCCTCCGGGGTCCCGCCGCCCGCTTCTTGCCGGCCCGGCGGAGGGGGGCGGGGCGGGGAGTCGCTTCGGGCCGCAGGGAGAGACGGGGAAGGAGCGGCCCCTCCCCGGAGCCTGCGCAGACGGCGGGACGCGCTAGGACGCGCGGTCTCTGGTTCCGGCCGGGCGCTCTGGGCGCTGTAGTCCTCCGCGGCGGGGCGGCGCCGTCCCAGAGTGCCTCGCGGTGGATGGCGAGGAGGAGGAGGAGGAGGAGTCCCCCTGCCGCCGGGATGCCGCGCCGCCGGCTCGGCCGCTGAGCCCGAGCGGCCCGTGCCCCCGCCTCCCCCGCCCGGCCCGGCGCCGAGGATGCTGCGCTGCATGCCGCCGCTGTGGCGCTGCAACCGGCAGGTGGAGACGCTGGACCGGCGGCACTGCTCGCTGCAGGCCGTGCCCGACGACGTCTACCGCTACAGCCGCTCGCTGGAGGAGCTGCTTCTCGACGCCAACCAGCTCCGCGAGCTGCCCAAGGTGGGCCCGCCGGGCTCTCGGGCGGGGGGTCGCCGTCCTCGCTGACGTCGCGCGGGGAGAGACCCCCGCCGCGCCCCTCCCCCTCCCACCCACCCCCTGGCTGGGCCCGCCGTGCACCTGTCGCTGGGAGGGAAGCGACGGCCCCCCGCGCGCCTCGCCCCCGTCCCTCCCCCAGCTGGGCCCCTCTTGGGCCGCCCCTCCCCCTCCCCCCGCTGAGCTCCCCCCACCCTCCCCCTGGCCGGGCCCACTCCCCCCCCCTGAGCTCCCCCTGGCCGAGCCCCCTCCTCCCCCTCCCTCCCCGCTGAGCTCCCCCCTGGCCGAGCCCCCTCCTCCCCCTCCCTCCCCGCTGAGCTTCTCTTGGCCGAGCCCCCTCCCCATCCCCCCCGAGCTCCCCCCTGGCCGAGCCCCCCTCCTCCCCGCCCCCCGCTGAGCTACGCCCCTGGCCGAACCCAGGAGCGGCCGTGGCCTCCCTGTTTGGCTGACCGGCCTCACTCAGATTTCCTTATCCACGGGCTGCTCCTGACCAGACTGTGCCCGAAGTGGACTTCCTGCCGGTAGGGAGCCCGCCAAAGGCCTGTCGGGTCCAGCCTGGGAGGCCCCCGCCTGGGCACTTTCCCTGTCTGACTCTGTGGGGGGGGGGGAGGCTGAACTGGGTACCCACAGAGTGACGCCTGGTGTGGGAAAATCACAAGCTGGGTGTGCAGAAGGAGTAAATGGCAGCAATTAGAATAAAATGAGTTCTTTATTGCCCAAGTGTGATTGGACACACAAGGAATTTGCCTTCTGTGTACATAAAAGTTACAAGTGATAAATCAACATATGAAAGACATAAAATATAGAAACGCTGCACCTGGGTGAAGCCCCAAGGAGAGAAAGAGGAAAGTGAATGAGGATGTCTGGTCTTGTGGACGGAGCTGATGAATACAGGCAGCGTAACTCAGGTCTTTTTTTATGAAAGAGGCAAAGTATATCTTCTAATTTTTTGATGGGCAGGTCTCCAAGTAAGAATCAGTAAGCGGGTGACAGTTGTGCATTGTTTCCTTCCAGGGAGTGGTGATAATGGGAGAAGCAGAGAAAGGGCCACATCCAGGGCATTGGGTTCTGAGTGCCTGAGAGTCAGGGGAGAAATGGGTGGATGAGACGGGACAGGGCGGGCAGCGACTGGGCTGTTCAGAGACACCGAAATGAATGGGAATGGGTGATCGGTGAGGACTTGCTTAGAAAAAGTATGTTTCAAATGTAAGGCTTAAGCATAAGACTTCATCCAATTTCTAAGGTGGCCCAACTCCATTGCAACTTGGCTGCCACTCTGGGTGGGGTGCAGGATTGAAAACTTATGTGTAAACTTGTGAAAGCTGTGAAAGTAAAGGCAGATTTGATTTGATGCGGAACGTTTCAGAGTGTCAGGGCCAGAATGAGACATTCTAAATGTGGAGCAGACCGTTTCTTAGTAGTGGCAAGAGTGGATCTTGAGGGAAAAATTTAAACACAAAAAAAGTGAAACAACTTTCCCGTGGCTGATGCCATTTTCACATATTTGGCCATGCATGGCCAGGCCGTCTCAATGCCCTTTTGTCCTGCTCACCCACTTTTGCATGCAGCCCGCTTTCTTCCCATTGTCTGCAATTTCTTTTTGTGGTCTCCATGGCCGAAGGAGCCTTCCCTCATGGGTGGAAGATATGCTAATGTGAAATACAAAAAAGAAAGCATGGTGAAATAAAGATGCGGGGCTCTAAACAAGGGGGGAACATATGAATAACAGAAATCATCTGCACGTTGAGAGAAAAAGTTGCAAAGGATACAGTGAAAGAGAGCAAGGAACAAAAGAGGCAAAGCAGTGCAGTGGTGGCTTTGGTGGAAAGAACGAGGGAAGGAACCTCCAGACTGGAGTAGAAGTGAAATGATTTGGGATGAGTGGAAGGGGAGAGGAGCTCAAGAGGATTTCAGAGATTTAGAACAGAATAGAACAGCTGAAAGGGACTCTGGAGGTCTTCTAGTCCAGCCCTCCCCCCCCCCGCTCAAGCAGGAGAGAAGCAGAACATCCAGATTCAGCCAGTTTCATTCCATACAGTATTAACCTTGCGAACTCTCAAGCTTCCTCCTTCCATTGTATATTCAAGATGGACAATATTTAATATTTATTTGCTATGTATATGTAGGGATGTTGTTCATAGTATGTTTAGGTGTGTGTCATGTATGTATTTCATTTTGAGAGCGGGCAACTAAATTTCACTTTTGATGTGTGCCATTGTGCCCACAGTATAAAAATGACAATAAAGGTTATCTTATTTTATCTTATCTTATCTACGTCTCTGACACGTGATTGCCTAGTTTTTTCTTTAAAATCTCCAGTGATGGAGCGCCCACAATTTCTGGGGGCAAGCTTTTTCCAGTGGTTGGTTGTCCTCTCTCCCTATCAGGAAGTTTCTCCTTAATTCCAGGTTGCTTCTCTCCTTGGTCAGTTTCCATCTGTTGTTTCTCGTCCTTCCCTAGAGGGATCGAGACCAGCGCCAGGCGTGCCAGGGTCCAAGAAAAGATGGGGCAGTCCTAATGGCTGGGAAGCTCTTGTGAAACAATATTGGCTGCAGTTGTAGCGGGCAGAGCTGAGAAGTAGATGAGATGGACTCAAGGAGTGGATGTGTGGGGGAAGATGGCGCCTGTGCCTGGTGACTGGAAGGATGGGGTTATGGTGCCACCGTAGCAAGAGTGAACACAAGAACCGTGGGAGTGTGTCCTTGGGAGTTGGTGCTTGGCAGGGTTTTCATCGGAAAAGGGCGAGACCTGTCAGTGGGCAAAGTCAGGAGAGGCAGTTTTTCTGTGTCCTTCCTTCAAGTTAGTCATCAGGCAGGAGGAGTCTGAGGCAGCAGCTAAAGCGGCTACGTTGGGGGGCCTTAGCAGGAGCATCGAATCCAGATTGGGAGGCGTAATTATTTCCTGAACTCTGTCCTCCCAGACCCCTGTGGAGTCCCGCATCCAATTCTGGGGGCCCCAAGTCCAAGAGCCCAGGGGCCGAATGGAGCCAGGCCAGAGAGGGCCGGCAAGGGGCTGAAAGGGGAGCGCTGTCAGGAAAGAGTTAAGGTGCTGGTTCTTTGAAGCCTCCAGAGGAGAAGGGAGGACAGCTGCTCCCCCAGAGCTGGCCAGAAGTGTGGGTGTGGGGGGAGGAGAAGCTGCAAGGAAGGAGGATCCGGTTAAACATCAGGAGGAGCCTCAGCATGGCATGGGATGTCAGTCAGGGGAACAGACTGCCACAGGAAAGGAGCTCTTTTACTAGAGGTCTTTAAAGAGATATTATTATCAGAGAAGCTCTCCTGGGCCGAGTAGGATGCAGGATGTTGGAGTAGATACGGCTGTGGTTTTAGGATTCCTACAATGTACTGTCCAGACTTAAGTCTGCTTTGACCGATGCAGAATAGAAACGACAATATCTTTTGATCTTGATATTCTGGTTCTGTTGCTGCAGTCTAGGGTGGCAATTGCTTTTTTTGCAATTGCATTGCATTGTTAGCCCATGTATCCTGGCATCCTGCTGCGCTTCCCATCATGGCAAGTTGGGGGGGGGGCAAATTGTTCCTGGGAGGGACAAGTGACAGATGCGGGCCAAGAATGTATAATCCCAGCAGGTCACCCAAGGCAAGAAGAAGGGCCCTCTGGCTGCCCAGCTAAAGCAAGCCCAGGCCCTTATATTGAGCAGCAGCGACACAGGAAGACGACCACAACAGCAGCGAAGGCACCCTGCATATTGAGTGGCAGAGGAGGGAGGCAGGGGCCAACTACTCCTGAAGAAAAAAAGAAACACCGAAGAAGAAATAAACAATTGGCAACTTGCAGGTCAGATAGAACTTGGAGAGCTGCTGAGGATCTTTCAGGATGCAGGCAGCCCTCAAGTTATAACCCTGAGGGAGAAGCTTGCCTATTAGGGTCGTAAGTCAGTACTTTGTAAAATGAATGGGACTCATTTTTATGACTTTTTTTTTACACTGCGCTCATTTAACTAATCAATCGGTCATTAAATGAAGGAAGATTGGGCTTGCTGTTTGCTTTCATTTGCTAAATGACCTTCACCGCCATTAAATGAACTGAGAGGCTGGAGAATTTGCCAGGCTCCCCAATGGAGCCTCTGGAGGGAAGGTGCGCTAGGCGTGGGACGCTGTGAAAGGGGAAGTGTCAGGGCAGGTGCGCTCCTTGGGATTGGAGACTGGAGTGCCAAAGTTAGAGATGCTAAAGAGGAAGCTGTAAAACCAACATGAAGCCAGAGAACAGCAACTTACCACTTTCTCTCTATCCGTTGCTTTCTGGGTAACTCAGTCTCCCAGAAAAGAAAATGGGGCTTATACGATTTAGATATCGCCAAATGAAATACACGCAGACACCAAGCGGACTGTGCTATAATGAAGCGAAAGAGCTCAGTTATTTCTCAGTTAAAGAGCTCAGATCGCAGTTAAAGGAGCAGCCAGAGGTTTACCGTGAAAGACATCAAAAATTGCTTGTGCACAAGTTCCAAGTCAAGCTAAAGCGGAAGTTTCTGTCAAATGCTCTTGGACATATACTTACCGTTGTTTTCAAGGAGAAAGTCCTGAACCTCATTGATAGGGAACCAGAGAAATTGTGGAATGAATTTAAGTTCAGAATGAATGTGAAGAGACTGTCAAAGACTAACAAAGAAACAAAGAAGAAAGCAAAGTGGAAGTCAGGAAAAACAATGGAAATTGGCCAGAAGAGAGAGACCAACCCTCCAAAAGTTGAGAGATGAAAGCCAGAAAGACAAAGATCTCAAGAAGAAATTTAACAAAGAATTTCACAGAGTTGTTAAAACAAATATGGACTGCTACAGTGACATCTGTAAAAAAGACTGTAAAAAAGACACAGAAAGACAAGGAAGTTTTCCAAAAGAACTTCGATCTTCGAAGGAGGTTCCAGCTCCAAGTACATTTGTTAATAGATGCTAATAGGCAGTATCAGATTTAAAGAACATCGAACAGGGCTAGAAGGAGTGTATTCAAATTTTGTGTAGCACACATCTCAACATCTGAAATATTTTGCAAAGTATTCCCTTCTTACAAGAGCCCCTGAACGATGAAGTTAGATTAGCAGTCTGGTAATTACGAAGTTAGATGACTACAAAAATTATGGAATATCCTTAGAAATAACACAAGTAACAGAAGGAGAATATGGGCATATTCTAGCCTGTGTCACCCTGTGGCATGTGCTCAGAAGCAGCTCATTGCCTCAAGAAACTCCCATAGAAGGCGAGAAACCACGATCCAGTATAGAAGGCTCCAGGTCAGCAAAAGAATAACACAGAAGATGGAGTAACAGGGTGGGAAGAGACGTTGGATGTCTTCCAGCCCCCTGCTTGAGCAGGAGACCCTATGCTACTGTGGACAAATGATTGTCCAGCCTCTTCTGGAGAGTCTTCTGGGATGGAGCGTGTGGTGGAGGCGAGCCATTCCACTGACGGATTGTTTTCACTGTCAGGAAATGTCTCCTTAGTTCTTGGCTCTCTGATGATCTCCTAGCCGTTACTTCTTGTCCTGTTGACAGGAGCCTCTCTTCTCTGGGACAGCCCACAAGTGCTGGAAGACATCTGTCCCGTCACCCCTAATCCTTCTGTTTGAGAGGTTAGACCAGGGGTAGGCAACCTTGGCTCTTTTATGACTCATGGACTTCAACTTCCAGAATTCCTGAGCCAGCCGGTTCAAAAGAGCCAAGGTTGCCTACCCCTGGGTTAGACATACATAGTTCCCTTAACTGTTCATCGTACAGTTTAGCCCCCAGATTCCTCTTTCTCTTTCTTCCTCTTCCCTCCCTCTTTCTACGGCCTCTTTTTTCCATCGTGGTGATCAGAAACGAATGCCATATTCCAAGTGTGGCTTCACTCGTGCAGCACAGAGAAGGGTGCTATCTATCATCAGTTCCTGCAATCTTGATGCTCAGGACGGCGTTGGCTTTTTTGGGCAGCTACAGCCACCCTGCTGTTAAGCCAGGTGGCCCACCAGGAGACCCAGATCCTTCTCAGTGCTAATGCTGATAGACTGGGGGCCGCCTCTGCTATGCCTGTGCCTTTGGCTTTTGCTGCCTAGGCGCAGGACCTTACTTTCCTCATCACTGAGCTGCATCACGTTAGATAGGGCTCACTGCTCAAGTCGGTCTAGATCCTGAGTCTGTCTTCTAAAGCAGGTGTGACCAAGCACGTGGCCTTGGACAGCTAGTCATGCAGCCCTACAAGACTGTAAACTTGGAGCATTATTATGTGATTTTATGTTATAAAACGATATTATATATATTATGTATATGGCTTAAGATAATTCCCCTTCGTTTAAATCAGTGATTCTCAACCTTTCTAATGCCATGACCCCATAATACAGTTCCCCATGTTGTGGTGACCCCCAAGTGGGTGTGGCCACCAATAAGAGGGAGTAGGACAGCTAGGGAAAACGGAAAAAAATGGCGGACAGCATGGTTTGGCGACCCCCGTGAAATGGTCATTCGACCCCAAATGGGGTCCCGACCCACAGGTTGAGAACCACTGGCTTAAATGCAGCCCAGGCACCCATAATCTAAAGTGTTGGCAATTCCCCCCCCCCAGCTTGGTGTCATCTGCATGTTTGATGAGTTCCCTTCCTGTGCCCTCACCTAGATCATTTAGGACAATGTTCAAGATAACTGGGCCCAGGGCAGAACCTTGAGGGACCCCACTGCATGCTTCCCTCCGTGTAGATGTCATTCCAGGTAGGACCTCGTGTTGAGTGCAGTTGGCCAGCCAGTTGTGGATCCATCTGGTGGTGATGCTGGATGAAAGAAAGCTGAACGCTCTCCTTTATGTATTCAGCACATATCCTGAATATGCATTAAGGGAAACTGGCTTGGCGGTGGACATTCGTTAACTCTAGTTGTCCAGCTGGCCTCAGGCCTTTCTAATGGAGCCAAGTCCAGCCATCATTTTGTTGTCTTCTCTGCTAAGATCTTGGGAGGAAGTTTGTTGAATGCTTAGTTCAGGAGTGTCAAACTGCCGGCCTGCAGACCGGTTGCATCATACAGATGCCACGCCCACCCCAGCTCCGGCAATGCAAAAAAAGTTGTGACACGTCGCAACACATCACGTGACGCAGCGAGTTTGACACCTGTGGCTTAGTTGAAGCCAAGGTGTGTGTTAAGGAAAAGTTTTGCTGATTTAGAAACAGCATATGATAAGGTACATGGGCTTAAATTACGAATGTTGTACATGAATACAGGTGACTCTTGACTTATGACCAGCTGCTTAGCAACTGCTTGAAGTTACAATAGACCCCCCAAAAAGACAGATTTGAAGTTCTCACCCCGGTCATGTGATCACAATTTTGGTACTTGGCAACGGGCCCACATTTATGGCTGTTTGCCGCATTCCATAATCATGGGACTGTGGTTTACATCATTTTTGCTTAGAAACCAGGATTTACTTCTGGTTCTCACAAAAAGTGCTCCATAGCTTAACAACCTCAGCATTTGCTTCATGATTGCCAAAAAATGTTGTAAAATTGCCCGTGATCACGTGACCCATTTTTTGACTTGCCTGCTCAGTCAGGGTCATGTGTCAAGGGTTACCTGCATGGAGTCTGAAGCTGGTGGCTAAATAAGAGCAGTATGTGATGGACATAAATGAAACACCCGGTAAATAGAGGAAGCAATTGCTGTGATTGGGGCTGGCAGTTTGGTGGTTCTGTGAAGCAGTCCCCGGGTGAAAAGCCCACACGGTTGCATTTTACTTCAGCTTTCCTTTGCTTTACAACAGCCTCTCTAAACAGCCAGGTGAGCCCAAGTGAGTGGGAAGTTTTGGGGACTCTTGTAGCCCTTTCCTCCCAGTCTCCCATTCTTGGGAATGCTCAGCGCAGCTGCTGAAATGATTAGCAAAAAGAGAATTGAGGCTCGTATTTACATTGGCTGGAGAGAAAGGGATTCCCAGAGAGTAAGCAGGTGGACCATGAGGAGTGTGCCTCAGATGGGATGCAGGGTTGGCTGGGGTTGGCTGCCTAGGAGGCAGGCTAAAGCCTTTGCTATGGAACTGATTAGGGTCTCACCAGGGAGGATAATGAAGGTCCACAGAGAGCTCAGCTTTTTAACCTGCGGTTGTCGCTTTTTAGGGACAAGTGAAGAAGCTCAAGAAAAGGAATCCCTTGTTGAAGCAATCTCTCCGCTCTGTGTGGAAAGAGAGAGAGAGAGAGAGAGGTAGAGACACAGAGAGAGAGAATGTCACAGATGCTGTGGAATTGGTTGTGAAGTAACTTTTTAATGACCATTGTAACTGAACAGTTGTTGTCGCTAAACCAGGAGCACTTGTAATTCAGCATTGAGCATGGAATAAGATATGGGTGTTGGTTCCCTTGGTTGTTCAGCATGTATACTGATAAACGTGTGAGAAGCTTTTGTGCTGTGGGAGCAGGTGGGGTGGGGACATGAATGTGGGTGTCTATTTGGATAATGTGGAGGGTGAGGTCAGAAATGATTTACAGTGAATGCCAGCTAGAAGATTGTGTGACAAGCAGCATGGAACTATAAAAAAACAACCGGGGCCAAGTCAGCTGTGCTTAGCAGGGAAGGTTGCAAATTGACGAGCCAATGGTGGATTGGGAAGGTCTGCAGGACGTCTTCTGCTCTGGGGGGCCTCCAGGGTGGAGAGGCCCTTGCTGAAGCTTTCTCCGGCCTTCAGGACTGGGTGCAAGTGGCTCCCCAAAGACACCCCCCCCACTGCTGTTCCCCCCAGTCTGCGCAGAGCTGCCTTTGCAGTGGCCAAGGCCACCGTGCCAGCAGGGAGAGCAGGCGGCCCCCCAGGGGAGGGAGGGCACTTGGAGGGGGAGGCTGGCCAGGCTTCCCTCCGGCCCCGTGAGCAGCCCCTCCCTCTCTGCACGCAGCCTTTCTTCCGACTCCTGAACCTGCGCAGGCTGGGCCTGAGTGACAATGAGATCCAGCGCCTCCCTCCTGAGGTGGCCAATTTCATGCAGCTGGTGGAGCTGGACATCTCCCGCAACGGTGGGTAAGGGGCCCTCGTGCCTGGCGGGGGGGGGGGGAGACTGCTGCCTTCCAGGCTATCCAGGGTGGTCTCTCTTCCTGTCTTTTATGCTGGGGGGAGGGGAGGGGGAGCAGGGCTTGTTTGGCTCTGAGATTCCTCGCTGACTCCTGCCCGTCTTTGGGCCCTCTGCTCCAGACATTCCGGAGATTCCCGAGAGCATCAAGTTCTGCAAGTCCCTGGAGATTGCAGACTTCAGTGGAAACCCCTTGTCCAGGTAGGAGAGAAGTGGCCGCCTGGGGGCGCCTGCCTGTCCTTCCGGAAGGGCCTCTCGCTGGGGGGGGGGGGGGCTGGCTGCACGGAAGGGCTTTGGGGCAGCTGTAGGGAGGCTCTGTTGGGAGGGGCAGAGCGGGGGGGGGGCGGAGGTTGCCCTGGGAGAGGCTGAAGCGTCTGGTGCCTTCCCCTCTGGGGTCTTGAGAGCCCCAAAGGCCAGTTGCCCTGCAGAGACCTCCAGGCTCCCCCTGCCTCTCCTGCAGGCTCCCCGAGGGCTTCACCCAGCTGCGCAACCTGGGCCACCTGGCCTTGAACGACGTCTCCTTGCAGAGCCTGCCCAACGACATTGGCAAGTGAGTTGGTGCCTGGCGTGGGGGGGGGCAAGGCGTGGGGCAGGGCCCACTCTTCTGCTCAACCCGAGCCCTCCTTTCTCCCCCAGCTTGGCCAACCTGGTGACCTTGGAGCTCCGTGAGAATCTGCTGAAGTGCCTCCCGGCGTGAGTGCCCCTTTGTCCCTGCCCTGGCGGAGGGGCCCCAGAGGAGCCCCGTGGAGGGGGGGCGCAGCTCCTGTGCTCCCAGCGGCCCTGACTTTTCCCCTCTGCCTTGCAGTTCGCTCTCCTTCCTTGTCAAATTAGAGCAGCTGGACCTTGGGGGCAACGATCTGGAAGTGTTGGTAAGGGAGCCTCGAGGGGGGAGACCCACCCTTCTTTCTTTTCCTAGCCGGCCTCGCCCACTGGCTGTGCGGCTCCTTCTCACCTGAGCCCAGGACAGAGCTCTTCGCCCCGGATCCTGAGTGGGGATGGCCTGCCCCTGCTCCAGTCTCCTCTCTCAGCAGGCCTCTCGAGGACTGGGCTTGAGGGCGCCCCCCGGGGGAGGAGGTCCCGGGAAGGGTGTGTGCCATGGAGAGTGATGTTGTGCTCCTCTCCTTCACAGCCAGACACCCTGGGCGCCCTGCCAAACCTGCGTGAGCTCTGGCTGGACAGGAACCAGCTCTCCTGCCTGCCCCCGGTAAGTGTTTCCACCCCCTCCCGCGCCTTGGTCTTCCCGTGCCGTGGCCAGGGCCTCGGGTGCCTCTGCCTGGCTGACATTTCCGGTCCCAGCAATAAAAACGGGGTTATCTGCAAGCGGACAGTCTCTCCGGGAGCCGTGTCCCTCTCTGGGAACCTTCTGGTCCCGTGGGACACAGGCCGAAAAGCAGGACTGCTACGACGGGCTCTGAGCTGATACCTCGGGCAGCCTTCATGGGCCAAGGAGCTATGCTCAGAAAGCGAGGCTTTCTTTGGGGAGGGCGACAAATGGTCTCTTTCGACTGTGGACAGGGACTGGGGGTCTGCCAACAGGCAGCATCGTCAGGGAGAGGGAGGGATCCGGCCTGGTAGGGCAGGCGGCCCACGCTGCAAGAGTCGGAAGTGTTGCTTATACCCGAAGCTTCCGTGTGGAATTGTTTGGGGCGTCCACGTGTTCAGTGTGGCAGGAATGAAGGGGGCCAGCTGAGCCCCGGGGAGGAGCGCCTTGGTGTCCTGAGGGTCCAGCGCAAAGAAGCCGGAGTGTAGCAGAGCAGCCATCCGAGTCAGCCTGCCTCGCTTCCCTCTCTGCAGGAGCTGGGCAATCTGCGCCGGCTGGTCTGCCTGGACGTCTCCGAGAACAAGCTGGAGCAGCTGCCCGATGAGATCAGCGGGTTGGTGGTGCTGACGGACCTTCTTCTGTCGCAGAACCTGCTGGAGATGATTCCCGACGGCATTGGTGAGTGTGGCCATACTTGGGGGGACCCTTGAGCGAGATTGGGGGGGGGTGTCTTCAGAAACAAGGAAGCCGTCCCACAATGGTATCGGCTTTGGCGTTGAAATCTGCTTTTCATTTGTTCTTATTTCTGGAGTTGGGAGGAGCTTTTTGGAGAACTCGTTCCTTGGTACAGAATTTTGGGGAACACAGCTTTGCTGGGGGGGGGGAGGCGAAAAACATCCTTGATTGGAAAAAGAGTGTCATAAAACCGAAGCCCTTTAAGCTTTCGTTATAAAGCTAAAAGTCGGTGCTCTTGTTGTTGTTGTTAGTACCATTTATCTATACTGCACTTTCCCGCTAAGGGGCATAAGAAGCTTAAGTACCAGAATGAGAGCGTAAAAGCGGGATGCGGACCAGTTGGTTATGGCTTTTGTTAAAGGTCTTCTGTCCTCTGATGCCCAGGTGGGCACCTGCCTTCCCTTGAGAGGAGCGCTGGGGATGGGCTGCTCCAGCAAACGCCCAGGCAGCTTCCGGTTCCTCTGCTCCCAGATTACGCCTCTCTCATTAAGCCCCTTGAATCTGCTGCTCAGAACAGAACAGAACAACAAAGTTGGAAGGGACCTTGGAGGTCTTCTAGTCCAACCCCTACTCAGGCAGGAAACCCTATATGATGGTGCCACGTTTCTGAGAGAGCTAAAATCCCCAAAGGGATTGTAATCACCTCCCACAGAATCCAGCCTGGAGCAGCCCTGGCTGCGCAGGGGTCATCTATACTCTCTTGACCTTTGCCCAGGCCAGCTGAAGCAGCTCTCCATCCTGAAGGTGGACCAGAACCGTCTCACAGAGGTGACTGAAGCCATCGGGGACTGTGCAAACCTGTCGGAGCTCATCCTCACCGAGAACTTGCTACAGGTGGGCATGCAACTTGGCTCTGCCTGCTACGGTTTAGGCAGACGCTCTCCAGGTGAGCTCGCTGATCTGCCAAGGGTGGCGGTCTTACGCCTCCACCTCCGGGTGCTCTTTTCTCAGACCCTCCCCAGGTCTCTGGGGAAACTCACCAAGCTGACCAACCTCAATGTGGACCGGAATCGCCTGACGTTGCTTCCTGCAGAGATTGGGGGCTGCAGCAGCCTGAATGTGCTCTCCCTTCGAGACAACCGCCTGGAATTGCTGCCCCCGGAGCTTGCGAGCACCACTGAGCTGCACGTCCTGGATGTAGCAGGCAACCGGTACGGCTGGGGTGGGAGAGGGAAGCAGTCCAGGCTTGCTTCAGAACTGGCGCCCTGGGCCAGCCGAGCACCCCTCACCACCCCTCATTGTGCGTGTCCGCCTGGAGGTGGCTAAAGGTTGCCCGGTTTACATGGGCTCTGCATTTTTGCCTGTTCCTGAGCGGCTACTCGCAACCACGACTCGGATGACGTATCACTTAGCGGTATGAAAACAAAAAATGTGCTGATTTAGAGCAAAACAGCCCATCTCAGTGAGCCAACATCTCAGTAGCAGTGAGCACATCTCTCAGCCTGGATATAAGTAAGAGACTGTGTGTGAGCTGTACAGGCAGTCCTCGACTTAGCGACTGTTTGTTCCAGAACTATTCAGAATTCTGACGGCGCTGAGCAAAGGGACATTCGAACCCCTTCCGAAGTTCCAGCCGTTGCAGCGTCCCTTTGGTCACGTGATAAAAATTCAGGCGCTTTGCAGCGCACCTGCCCTGAAAACAGCAGGAGCGCTGCAACTCTCCCCACATCGCGGGCCTCAGCTGGCTAGGCCCACTGGGCAGGAGCCTTCCCCCCATCCTGACCCTCTCCTGGGGCCCGGCTGCGCGAGTCCCCTTGCCTTCTCTCTCTGTGCAGCTGCTGACAAGTGTGCTCAGCCAGCGTGAGGCGCAGCTCCTGTAGGAAACCAGCCCATGTGATCTTTCCAGAAGTAGAAAAACCCACAGGACGTGGCGATGGTCAGGATGGGGGGGGGAGCCAAACGTGGCAGGGCTGGCATTCCTGTTTCTGGAGCTCCCCGTCTCCCTTTCCACTCGCAGGGCTGACTGAATTAGCAAGCAGAGGAGCCTCCACCTGGCGCACCTTTGTCCTGGAAGGGCCCAGGGCCAGCGGCCAGCCTCTGCTCATCAGAAATCCCTTCACGGTCCACTCTGCGTGTTGGCCAGTCCTTGTCCACAGTTTAAAGAGACCATTTGTCGCCCTCCTCCCAAAGACAGCCTCTCCGGCTCGGAGCCCGTCGTAGCAGTCCTGCTTTTCGGCCTGTGACCCACGGGGCCAGAAGGTTCCCAGAGAGATTCGCGAGGCTCACAGATACCCCTGTTTTTATTGCTAGAACCGGAAATGAAATTCTCCATAGCCTGAAATAAACATGTTTGAGAACCTCAGAGGAAGGTATTTCTTTCAAGCTGCTTAGAAAAGCAGGATGCAAATGAACCACTAGATGGAAAGGAAATGATCTGGCTCCGAGGGGGTTCTGAAGCATAAATTTCTCCTCCCTGTCCAAGACTGGGAAAAAGAGTTCATTGGGTTATTTAATGAATTGGGCTGAACAGGACACGTTCTCTCTGAAGCTCAGGGTAAAAAAAGACATCAGTGCTTGACTTACAATCACGTAAGCTAAATGATCTGGTCATTAAGCAAGTCACCGTGGGCCATGCCTGATGTTACGGCCATTTGTGCCGCAGGGGGCGAGCGAATCGCATGGCTCCACCCACTGACCCGGATCATGGGGAGCCGGCTGAGCGGCTACAACTGGCAGCCACATCACCACAGGGACGCTGTGATGGTCATCAGTGCCTTCAAACTGTCGCTAAACGAACAGTCGTACATTGAGGACTACCTGTACAGCACAACATGAAATGGGAAAAGCAAGTCGTTATTGTGGACTAATAACCAATCGGGGTGTCTGTTGCCTAGAAGGAAAGGCTGAGAAGCAGGGACGGGAGTCCCTGAGGGAGGCGCTCTTCCTGGAAGGGCCCTCATCTCCCACCCCTTGGTCATCGGGATCCCCTGTGAGGTGGCCCTCCCTGGGCCTGGAAGCGGAGGGCCCTTCCAGCGCCTCAGGATGGGCCCGGCCTTCCTGGGAGAGGCTGCCGGGAGCAGAATCGGGCCCAGCAGATGCCGCTCCACTTCCACAATCCTTTCCCAGCAGCCGTGTTTGTCGTCTACTGCTGGTGTGTGTGTATGTGAGAAATTGGAAAAGAGTGGGGAGCCATGGACGGGCCTGATCCTGCAATACTACCTCCCATTCTCTTTTCCCATTCTCTCAACTATGACCTGGGAGGTCTTCTAGACCAGCCCCCTGCCTGGGGCAGTAGGGATCCTCAGACTGTTCCAGACAAGTCCTGCCCAGCCTTCGTTTCAAAGCTTCAGCAGCTGGAGCCCCTGCAGTACCAGGAAGCCAGCGGTCCCGCCGTGCCCTGCCTGAGAATTCCCTTCACTTTGAGCTGATCTCTTCCTGGGCCTTCATCTTGCCCTTGGGGGCGGCCCAGGCTTCTTTTCTGGGACAGCCCCTCAAAGGCTGGACGGCGGCTGCCGTGTCTCCCCTCAGCGCTGTTTCTCTGTTTCAGGCCAAGGGTAAGCAAGACCTTGAGCTGCTCTTGGTGGGATTCACCTCGGCCCCTCGCCCTCCTCCTCCTCCTCTGCGCACTTCCCAGTTCCTCCGCTGCCTCTTTATTTTGTAGCCACGAGAGCCAGGTCAGTATTCCAGGCGCACTCTGACCACTGGGTCACTTCCTGCAATCTTAGCGTTACACCCCTGTTGAGGCAACCCCAGATTGCGTTGGCTCGCGTGGCCTGCAGGACAGCCGGGTCCTTCCCACAGGTATTACTACTTCCCAGCCAGGTGTGGCCTGCCTGGTACCTGCGCTTTAGATTTTTCTTATTGAAGTATTGGGCCTTATATAACCGTATCGTTAAGACGGCTGAGTGTTAACGTCTGCGGTGCTGCTTTTGAACCTTGAATTTGTCTTCTGGTGTGTTCACAGCCTTCCCTGGCTGCATGTCATCTGTGCCTTTGGTGAGTCCCCTCCTGTTCACCTAATGGAAACAGGCGCCGGTGATTCGGCCAGCTCCAGCTCCATCTGGCAGTGGGACCGTCCTTCCCCTTTATTCCATCTTAGAAGAAAGAATGCGGTAGTCAACTTTTATCAAATGCCTTCCTGAGGTCAAAGTGCGCTACATTGGCAGCACAGCCTTGGTCTGCTATTCTAGCCACTTTGTCAAGAAAAGCAATCCTAGTTGTCCGGCGTAGTCTGTCTTCAACAAACCCGCATGAGCTTCTGCTCATCGCTGTTTCTTTCTTAATGTTGCAAATCCATCGTTTGGTGATCTCTCCTAGGAATTTCGCAGGTGCTCATTCCTAGGTATTCCCAAGGCTATTGTTCAGAAGTTTCCTGGGTCCATTTTATTTCCTTCTTTAAAAGATCGGGCCAGTGTTAGCTCTTCTCCAGTCTTCTGGCACATCTTCTGTTCTCCGCCAGCGGCTCTGAAATTCATCCAGCTCCAGCTAGGATACAATCCACCCAGTCCAGGAGTTCCGAAGCCACCCAGGTCAGCCGGGCGCCCCCTCTTGCCTCTCTGCAGTCCAGCAGCCCAGCCTTTCTCTCCCTCTTCTCCAGAGGACAGAGCGGCTTTGCTTTGACCTTCCTCCTGCCCATGCACAAAGAGGCCTTCTTTGTCCGTTATTTTTGGCATTCTTTGCAGGCCTCAACTGAGCCTTAACTTTCCTGACCCCCAGCCTTACCGATTCTGGCTATTTCCTGAGGCAGTGTTTTTATTCTGTTTTGCTTTTTTTTTAAAAAAAAAAAACCTGTTTGAAAAGGTTTTTCTAATTTGTTTAAACAAAATCTTTTTTTAAAAAATGGTTCTTTTCGTGTAAGCTCCTCAGAGCTTCTAAAGCAGCCGGGCCGTCTCCTCAGGAGTCTCCCCTTTCCTCCTGTTTGCCACGGAGTCTCCCATTTTTCAGAGTTTCCCAACCCTCCTGAAATGTTTTGCCCTTCAGGATTTCTGTCCTTGGAATCTTTACTACTTTTTCTCTTGGCTCTCCTGAAATTCGGAATGCTAACCTGATCACCTTCAGTTCTCCCCGAGGGCAGTGCCGGCATTCCTGGGAACCCGGAGTCCCTTCGCAGTCGGGTGGCTGGTAAATTCAGGCCAAGTAGCCAGTCTCCCTCCCTCCCTCCAGGGTTCCTGCCGCTGCCCCCTGCTAGTAAGCCTTAAGTCCTGGGGAGCCGATCCTTTCGGTGCTGCAGAAATGCCCTTTTCCCACAGGGAGGGGCTGCCCGGATCCTCACCTCGGCCCTTGGGCTTCCCTGGGAGCCATCACGCCGGGGGAGCACACGTCCCGCTCTCACTGTGGAGAAGAGAAGGTTGTGCTTTTCAGAGAGAGCAGAGGGCCCGCTCCCTCCAGGAAGCTCCTGGCTAGTCTTGCTGGACCTGCTCTTCTTGGCTTGCTCTTCCTAATCCATGGGACAGAGGCCGAAGGGAGGAAGGGGCAGGGCAGGCTGGAGGACACAGGGGTCAAACTCGGTTGTGTCATGTGACGTACCGGGGTGGATGTGGCCTGCAAGTGAAGCGGGGGGGGGGGCACCAGTTTGACACCCTGCTGTCGGAGATCAAGGGTGGGCCAGCTGTGCATATCGATGTCTCCCTCCCCCCAAAACAAATGGCAGGAGAGTCGATTCCAAGGTCAGGGAAGCCTATGGGAAAGTTGCTCCCAGTGGCTGAAGGCCCCCCTCAAGAGGACCCCTAAGGTCAGGGGAAAGGGGGCTCGTTGAAGGAGCCCCACTTAGGGAGGAGTAGGGGGTGCAGCAAGAGAGGGGGCATGGGTGCTGGGGGGCCATGGGGTGGAGAGAGAGGGAGGACTCCTCATGCTCCGGGTCCCAGGATAAGAGGCTCTGGGCTCAGTCCTGCTCCCCCCAGCTCTGGGATTGCGCCCTGCTGTTGATCAGCCCCAAATCTCCCTGCCCCTTTTCTTTGGAGTCCAAGCAACACCGGGCAGCCCCCCCACCAAAAAGGAAGGGGGTGGGGAGAGGTCTGGGGTACCTTATTCCTGGGAACTTGCTTTGCCCAGAGTCCTCTCAGCCCCCCCTCCCCGCCAAGTGCAGGGGGAAAAGTCCGAGTCCAGCTCTGGCTGCTGCTAACATCGGATGTTCTTGCTTGACATGTCCCCTCCCCATTTGAGCTGGCAGCTTCTGGGGGAGGGGAAGGCAAAGGGACCACCCCCCTGATGGCTTTCCATGGCCGCAGGTTGCAGCACTTGCCCTTCACCCTGACCAACCTGCACCTGAAGGCCCTCTGGCTGGCGGAGAACCAGTCGCAGCCCATGCTCAAGTTCCAGGCCGAGGAGGACGAGAAGACGGGAGAGAAAGTGCTCACCTGCTACCTGCTGCCCCAGCAGCCGTCCCCCAGCTCAGGTAGTGACGGGGCCCTGGGGCCCAGCCTCTCTGGGCGGGGGGGGGGGCGGGAGGAGCCCAGCTCGCCCTCACTGCCCGCCCCCTCTGGGTCTCCCCTGCAGAGAACCTCCTGCAGAACAGCCTGGATGAGAGCTGGGCGGAGGCCAATCCCAACCGGGTCAGTGTGATCCAGTTCCTGGAGGACCCTCAAAGGGAGGAGGAAGAGGAGGAGGAGGAAGCTGGTGCCGAGAAGAGGGTAATGGCCGGAGAGGAGCAGGGCTGGACAGCCAGAGCGGGTGTCCGCTCAGTCCTCAGGCTTCACTGGCCTGGCCCGGGAGGGTGGGGGGAGCAAGTGATCCTCCCGCTGCTTCCTAGAGGGAGCAACTGGAGCTGATGGGCCTCAGAGGAGCCTGGCTGTGCCCTCACCTGCCTGCTTCTCTCCCCCCCCCCATGCTTTTGGCAGGGGCTGCAGCGCAGGGCCACTCCACACCCCAGCGAGTTGAAGTCCATGAAGAAGGGGATGGAAGTGCGACGCAGTGAGGCCTCCACGGCAGCTAGGCGGGACTCCGGTAACACTGAGGTGGGCACTGAGGGCTTCTGCCAGCAGTCAGGTGGCCTCAGCAAAGAGATGCCCGCTCGGCCCTGCTTCACGTGCACCTCGACCTCCTCACCAGCCTGGTCTCTTGGAGAAGAGGCCAAAGAAGGCAGCCTCTGGGCCTTGCCTTGCGCTTCAGGGCTGCCGTTTTAAATTGGCCATTTAGGGAGCAAAGTGGGGACCTCAAGGATTGGCCCTGTGGGAGGGGAAGAGGCTGTCGTGCAGCTGAGGGCCACGTTCACATTGGGGATGAGGGGGAAGTCTTGGTGTCGCAGCTGCAAGTTTCCCTGCCAGCCCCTCCCAACTTATTCTCCCCAGATCCTGAAAGCAGTCAGGTTGTTTGGGAAGAGTGGGTCGCAGGCCCCAGCCTTTGCTACCGACCCTCCCTTTCCTGGCAGTGCAGCCTAGTGGAGGCAGCCGAGGGAAAGCGTCCCAAGGTGACTCTGGTGTCCCTGGGGCCGTCAGGGCTGCCAACATCAACCGTCCCCCCCACACACAGGGCAAGAGGCTGAGTGCCGCCTCCAACCGCAGCGAAGACTCCCATGTCTCTGGCAGCACCCTCTCTGCCGGCGACGGACCAGAGGAGGGGAGAGAGGCAACACAGCCAGAGGCGGGCATGGCAGAGGCTCAGCCGGAGGGAGAAGGGAAGCTGGCAGCTGAGGAGAGAGGCCAGGCGCCACCAGAGGAAAGGCCCACGCCGGAGGAGACGGGAGAGGACCAGGAAGAGGAGCTGGAGTACTCCGAGGTAGGAGCCGGGAGGCTTCCCGCGGCATCTCTGCCTGCTGTGAGTGGGGCTGCTGGCCGAGCCGAGGGGAGGCCGGAGCTTCAGACTGTGGCAGCCTGCAGCCTGAGTGGCAGCCTTTCCAAGCCCTTTTGGACAAGGTGGGCACCTCGCCTCTTCTCTCCAAAAGCCTCTCGGCCACCCAAGTGTAGGGCGGAGCGGGCAAAGGAAAGGCACGAGTCAAGCAGAGGGTCAAGCCAGCAGGCTCTGAAGGCCACGATGTTGGGAGCACTCTGCTTCTGTCCTGCTCTTCTGTGACCGGAAGCGGGCATAGCCCTCCCCCCCTGCCCTGGTGACAGCGCACCTCTTTTGGAGGCCTTGGGGTGACGACACCCCAGCTTTAGTTTTATCTTTAGTTTTTCTACAATCATAATTTCTACGTTTGATTTGCATCTTCCTTTTTAAGACTGAATTTCTGCAAGCTGCCTAGAGCCCAGCTGGCATCAGGCAGTCAGATAAGCTTTGCCAAGAGGGAAAGAGCTAAGAAGCTTAGCTGGGTGTCCAGTCCAGCCACACATCCTGTGGGGGTCAGCCTCTTCCACCTTCTGTCCCCCCACGGCTGGCAGCAGAGCGGGGAAGGAGAGCGGTGTGTGTGTGTATAGGGCAGGGCTTTTCAACCAGTGGTACGGCAGGTGATACACGACCATCCTAGAAAAGTAGCGGGGGAAGGGAATGGTAGCACCGCACAAGCCTGAGCGAGAGATGGCTGGAGCTGCAGGGCTGTCAGGGCTCAGTGGAAGCACCAGGATCAGCGCCAGGCTCCAGCTGGAGCTCGGCGCTGATCCTGGTGCTTCTGCTGAGCCCTGAAGAAGCACCGATCAGCTGGAATGTTGCAGCATCTCCAGGGTCTTGTGATTTACATTCAGATGCTTGTCCACTGATTCCTATTTATGACGGTCACAGTGTCCCAGGGTCATGTGAAGAAACTTGCTGCAACCACCCAGCAGACGGGGGGAATAAAAACCAAATACCCACCCCGCCCCACCCCCACTACCAATCCTCAACAGAAATGCTCACAACAATGAAAACCTCAGGTTTTTGACACCCTGCTAGGGGACTGGTGGTATTTGGATATTGCCATATCCTAAAAGTGGTACAATGGGTGAAAAGGTTGAAAAGCCCTGACCTAGCAAGGTGTCAAAAACTTGATGACCAAAAAAAAAAGGAAAAAAGGAAAAAAGTGATAAAGTACAGGTAGTCCTCGACTTACAACAGTTTGCTTAGTGACTGTTCGAAGTTACAATGGCACTGAACAAAGTGCCCCCCAAGCCACAGCCGAGCAGGATACCTGCCTGCCCACCCAATGGCGCTCTTCCTCCTGTCTGAGTTTTCATAGTTGCGAGCATTTCTGTTGAGGATTGGCAGCGGGCTGGGGTGGGGGGGGTGTTTGGTTTTTATTCCCCCCGTCTGCTGGGTGGTTGCAACACGTTTCTTCACATGACCCTGGGACACTGTGACCGTCATAAATATGAATCAGTTGCCAAGCATCTGAATGTAAATCATAAGATCCTGGAGATGCTGCAACATTCCAGCTGATCGGCACTTCTTCTGGGCTCAGCAGAAGTGCCAGGATCAGTGCTGCTTTCCAGCTGATTGGTGCTTCTTCAGGGCTCAGCAGAAGCACCAGGATCAGCGCCAAGCTCCAGCTGGCACTTCCACTGAGCCCTGACAGCCCTGAAGAAGCGCCGATCAGCTGGAAAGCGGCACTGATCCTGGCGCTTCCGCTGAGCCCTGACAGCCCTGCAGCTCCAGCCGTGTCTCGCTCAGGCTTGTGTGGTGCTGCCACCGGTTCATCTCATTCCCCTCCCCCGCTACTTTTCTAGGATGGCCGCGTACCACCTGCCAGGTGCCCATGTACCACAGGTGGTACCCGTACCACTGGTTGAAAAGCCCTGTGCTAGGCAACTGGTGGTATGTGGATATTGCCATATCCTAAAAGTGGTACAGTGGGTGAAAAGGTTGAAAAGCCCTGGCGTAGGGACCCCTGGCTGCCCCTGCCCAGCTCCTCCAAGGCCTTTCCCTGCCTCTTCCGCACCAGCAGAGGGGCCTGCTTTATGACCGCTGCCCAAATGGTGACCCACAAAAGCCAGCCAGCCACAACCAGAGCGCGGCCAGGAGAACCAGCCCACTGCCTGGGGGAAGACCGATGGAGAGGGAGGGCCGCCCGTGCCTCTTTTCCTGAGGCACCCTGAGGCCTTTCCTCCTGGAGCGGAGGGGCCTGAGGTCCCTGCCAAGAACCCCCATCCTACAGCCGAGATTGGTCCTTAAAGGCCTGGGGACTGGGGCAAGGGAAGGCACAGCCGCCTCTGATGTTTTCGGCCAGGCTCTTCTCGCCCGCCAGCTCCCTCGGCTCTGGGAAGGGCCCGGCCCCCAGGTTGTCCCGCCAGCTGACTTGAGGGGCTTCTCCGCTTGTTGGGCACGAGGGGTTGGAGAAAGAGCAGCGGCATTTCAAATGAGAGGGAGTGGGCGATGGCAGCTCTCCCTCTTCCCCTGCTCTATCTGGCTGCTCACCCCTGTGCCCAGGGAGGGGGGGCACGCCAGCGGAAAAGCAACCGCCAAGAGGAGCCTGGCAGAAGAGGGGGGCGGCAGCATCACTGGAACGCTGAGATGAGCAGCTCGAAGCCACCCGCGTCTCCCAGGCAGAAGAGACCCCTGCCTCCCTCCTCGCACGCATGGCTTTCAGCCCCAAAGGGGAGACTGGCCGGCAGGGCACCCCACACGCTTCCGCCCACGGCCTGGTTCCAGGCTGGGAGGGGCTGGCTTGACCCTTCTTGCCCCGGCTGGGGGGTGTCTCTTTGCAGCCCACGGTGCATTTTGCGGAAGACACCTTGGTTCACAGTGAGGACGAGGAGGCCCCCCAGTTCCCTGCAGGGAAGCAGCGGCTCATCCGCAAGGACACGCCCCATTACAAGAAGCACTTCCGGATTGCTCAGCTGCCCCGCCCGGAAGCAGTGGTGGCCCTCCTGCAGGGCTTCGGGGCCGGTGGGGGCCCCCAAGAGGTGGAAGAGGAGGAGGAGACTCCGGAGCAGGCAGGGTGGGGCCAGGAAGAGGTGGCCAGCGAGGGGGCAGCGGCCCCACCCTCAGTCAAGGTGAGGGCCTTCCTGGGGGGGAGGGTTTTGACAGGGCAGGCGGGGCGGGGCAGGGGTGTGGAGGGGAGACCCAGTCCTCCTGGCCGCGCCGGCAGGATTGAGCTCACCCGCTCGACTGCTGGGAGGTGGGGAGGGGCCCTCCTGGTCACTCTGTGCTCCCCCATGTGGGTGGGGGTCTCTGTTGCTTGTTGCTCTCCCTGCTGGGGAGTCCCTGGGGCACGTGCCCTCCCGGGGAAGGCGTGACATCTTTGCCGCAGACCCAGAGAAGGCTGGCCGCCTCGCATCCCACAAGCCGCAGGGCTTCCAGCTGCTGATGCTGGCTCCGGTGGGTGCAGTTCTTTGCCTGGCCCTCTCTTGCTCTGCCAGCCTGGAGGCCTTGCCAAGAGGTGGGGTGAAGGGCCTTTTCCGGAGGGGGGAGGAGCCCCCACCCTGCCTGCTCTTGCTTTCTCCCCGCCTTCTCTCTCTCTGGTGTGATGGTCTCTCGGTGCTGGGTGGGGTCTGCCTGTCTGCCTGCCTGCCTCTCCCTGGTGGTGGCCTGGGGCTTCCCCACTAATCTGCCCTCCGCCTCTGCCGGTTGCTGTCCTAACAGGGGGTGTCGTTTGATCAAGCCAATAATCTGCTGATTGAGCCCGCTCGCATTGAGGAGGAAGAGGTCTGTACCGCCCACCCGGGTGGGTTTGTCTCTCTCCCTGGACTGGCGGGAGCTGCCAGCAGGGCTCCCAGGCCACCTCCTTCCCTCTCCCCTCCTCTCCTCTGCCTGAGCTGGGGAGGGGGCTCGCTGAGCCCCTCAGGGAGGAAAGGGCCTGGAGGGGGCAGGAAACTTTCCTGGCTGATGGGAACAGCCCCTCCCTGGAGGAGGAGGAGGAGGAGGAGGAGGAGGAAGCTCTGGGGGTCATCGCTGGGCCCAGCATTTTGCAGCTGCTCTTGGGGCCCGCAGAGGCCAGGCTGCTCTCGTGATCCCTGAGAGGTCCGTGGCAGCCCCGTGGGCAGCCCCGTGGGCTTGCGCTACTGCTCCCTCTGGCCTGGGATCCCGCTCCAGCCAGACAGCCCCTCTTCCCCTGACCCTTGCTGCTCTCCGTGCCTTTCACCCCCGGCTGCAGCGTTGGTAGCTGGGCTTCTGCCCCTGGGCTGTCTCCTGCTTTCGGAAAGGGGTTCTGGGTCAGAATGGCTCTCTACCTCCACCTGAGCACCTGGGGCTCTGATCCCCCCCCCGCTTTCCTGTCTCTGTTCCTCTGCTTCCCTTCCAGCCCTGGAGGGTCCTCTGGGGAGCTGCTGGCTAAGCGGGCAGGGGGCTCTGGGCATCATCCGCGAAGGGGGGTGGCCGGAGGGAGTTTTGAGAGGGGTTTCGCTCATCGGGGAGTGTGCCGGGGGGGCTACCCCAGAGCAGTCTGCGGAAGGTGTGCCAATGTCTGTCCGATTGGCTTGGCCTCTGTTCCTCCAGGGCTGCCCCCGGTTCTTCCCTTCCCCCTCCTGGCCTCCCCCTTGAGTGCCTCTGATCTCTAGTGGGTCTCCACGTTGTTCCACGTGGCTCCTGCCACAAGGAGGCCAAGGGGCCGTTGCCCAGCCGGTCTCGCCACCGGCCTCCCTGCCTTTGTCCCAATCAAAGCCGTGGGTCAGGAGGGGACAGGGACAGGGATAGGGTCCTGTGCGGAGCAGCTTCCCAAGGGGAGAGTCCCCAGGAAACAGACAGGCACCTGGGGAGAGGGTGTCTTCCAGCTGATCCAGGAGGAGGGCAGGCATGCCCTCCCTTGCACCCATCGGTCCCGTTCCCCCCGCCCCCCTTCTGCTTGGCTTCCAGTTGGCTCTGACGATCATGCGGCAGACGGGCGGCCTTGGCATCAGCATTGCAGGGGGCAAAGGCTCCACTCCCTACAAGGGCGACGATGAGGTGAGGGTCGGGGGCAGCCTTTCAGGGGGTGGCCCCGGGGCAGCTGCTGGCGGGAGGAGCCAGTCCCCACAGGCTTTTCCTCCTCCTCCTTCCCCCCAGGGCATCTTCATCTCCCGTGTGTCGGAGGAGGGCCCGGCGGCACAGGCTGGGGTGCGCGTGGGGGACAAGCTCCTGGAGGTAGGTCACCAGGGCAGCGGGGGGGGGGGCGTATCTGTTGCACCAGCCCTGCCTTGAGGAGAGGGCCCACGCCTGCTCGCTGTCTTGGAGGGATCAGCCGTGCTCGCCGGCTGCTGCCTCAGCTAACAGGACAGGGGTGTCTGCCGTGGCCAAAGGGCTTTGGGGCTGGTGGCCACCCCATCCCAGGGGCCCTGCTGGCTCCGCTCTGGCCGTCGGCTGTTCGTCCCTGGCCTCGCTGCCTTCAGGGCCTGAGGTTCGGGGGCAGCGGGGTCTGCGTGTGCTTGTTCAGTGAGCTCTCCCCCTCTCAGGTGAATGGGGTGTCCCTGCACAGCGCTGAGCACCACGTGGCCGTGGAGGCCCTCCGGGGCTCGGGCAGCAGTGTCTCCATGACCGTGCTACGGGAGCGGATGGTGGAACCCGAGAACGCCGTCACGGTGACGCCGCTGCGGCCTGAAGATGATTACAGCCCACGGGAATGGCGTGGAGGGCTGCACTTGGCCACAGACGCCACCCCAGCCGAGCGGCTCTCAGCCTGCTTGGTGCGGAACGAGCGGGGCCTGGGCTTCAGCATCGCCGGGGGCAAGGGCTCCACCCCATACCGGCCAGGGGACACGGTGAGAGGAGAGCATGGGGAGCCTTTCCTGCTGGTGATATTTGACCCCCCCCTCCCTCCCCTGGAGGATTGCTCCCGGCTCCTGCTGATGTGGGGAATCTGTTCGGGATGGACGGACGGAGCCCCCTCCCCTCCCCCTTCATTGGGGAAAAGGTCCTCCTGGGACAGTCAGTGATCTGGCCCTTCCTTCGCAGGGCATCTTCATCTCCCGGATCGCAGACGGGGGGGCTGCCCACCGGGAAGGGACGCTGCAAGTGGGCGACAGGGTCATCTTGGTGAGAGAAAGGGCTGGGGTGGGGGGGGGCTCCCCACTGGATGCTCTGGAAAGGCTCCTCTGGCTGAGCCAGAGAGCAGCTTCTCCTCACCCCACCCTGCGTGGGCCCCATTCCCTCCCCTGCCCCATAGCCGTGATGGCTGCCTCCCCCCATCCTCCCTGCTAGGTGGTGTGAATGGCCTTTCCTCCTCTCCCCCACCCCAAATAGCAGTGGAGGGGAGAGCTCATGTCATAGAAGGTCCCTCCCCCGTGGGTCGCTTGGGGGCAGCCTAGAGCGGGCTCCCTTCTTGAACCCCGAGCCTACCTTTTGCCCTCCCCCTCCACTGACACTGAATTGGGGCCGTTGTAGATCAATGGGGTGGACATGACAGAAGCCCGGCACGATCAGGCTGTAGCGCTGCTGACCGCCTCCCCACCCACCATTGCTCTGCTGGTGGAAAGAGAGGTGGCCCCCCAAGAGAAGGACCTCCCTGTGGGGCCATGTGGGGCCCGGCCCCCCTCGCCACCCCCTCTGCCCCCGCAAGGAGAGATCACGCTGGAGGAAGCAGCAGCATGCCCCCCCAGGAGCCAGCTGCCCAAAGACACGGAGAGCCAGTACCCCACTGAGGTGGGTGATGGGGGTTCTGGGGCCACTCTGGGCTGGCGGGGGCCACTGGGCTCCCTCTCACCTGGCTGGGGGATGCCGGCGGCTGCAGCTGGCCCCCCAGTCACCGTAGGGAACCTTCGGTCTGTGCTTTCAGGAGATCTGCCTGGTCAAGGCTGGGGGGCCCCTTGGCCTTAGCATCGTGGGAGGCAGTGACCACTCCAGCCACCCCTTTGGCATCCACGAGCCAGGAGTCTTCATTTCCAAGGTAGAAACGCTGGCGCCATGCCCCGCACGCACCCCGTCCAGCCCTGGCTCAGGTGCCCAGTGGAAGGGCCTGGAGGGTGCCCTGCAGCCAGGGCGGTCACTGCCCCCTGGAGAGGGGAAAGGGCCGCAGAGGGGCCTTCAGGTCCGCCTCCTTCCTTCTCCCCTTGGGCAGGTCATCCCGCGTGGCCTGGCCTCCCGCAGCGGCCTGCGTGTGGGGGACCGGATCCTGGCGGTGAACGGCCTCGATCTGCGCCAGGCGACCCATCAGGAAGCGGTCAGCGCTCTGCTCTCCAGCACCCCAGAGCTGCAGATGGTGGTCAGGCGAGACCCTCCCCCGCCCGGAATGGAGGTAGGGAAGCTCACCACCCCACCCCTGCCTTCGATCCAGGCTGGAGAGCCTCCTCTGCCCCACGGAGCGCCCCCCCCCAGACGCCGGTGTCTCTGTGCTGGCAGGAGATCTCCATTGAAAAGCGGCCTGGAGAGAAACTGGGCATCAGCATCCGAGGCGGCGCCAAGGGCCACGCGGGGAACCCCTTCGACCCCACCGACGAGGGGATCTTCATCTCCAAGGTACCTCGAGGCTCTCTGTGACTGGGCAATTGGGGCGGTGGAGGGGGTGCCCTTGCCTCCCTCTCTTCACAGAGCCCTGCATCCGTTGGGCTTGTCCTTGCCGGAGCAGACCCAGTGCGTCCAGAGTGGCAGAGCCGCCCCCAGACCCAAAGCAGCAGCCTCCCCTCCCACCCCCCAGTTGGAGCAAGGGTGCTCTTCTGAGGGTCTCCCCGGGGGGAGGGGGCGGGGAGAAGGCGTGCCGCCACCTTCCCGCTGCTTCGCTGCCTTTCAGGTCAGCTCCACTGGGGCAGCGGCCCGCGATGGCCGGCTGAGGATGGGGCTGCGCATCCTGGAGGTCAACCAGCAGAGCCTTCTGGGCATGACCCACGCGGAGGCGGTCCAGGTCCTGCGTGCCGTGGGGGACCGGCTGCTGGTGCTCGTTTGCGAGGGCTTTGACCCCAAGGCCGTGGCTGTCCTTGAGGTTGGTGCCCTGCCCTCCCGTCAGCCCTTCGCCCTCTGGCCAAGCCCCGGCTGAAAGCGTCTCCCCTCCTCCCCACCCCCCAGATGTCTCCCGGAGTCATCGCCAACCCTTTTGCGGCCGGCATCGGGCGCAAGAACAGCTTGGAGAGCATCTCGTCCGTTGACCGGGACCTCAGCCCAGAGGAGGCGGACCTTCTTCAGAAGGTGGGAGGAGGAGGAGTGGGGCAGCTCCTGAGGCTCCAGGGCAGGGCGGGGGACCCCAAGGGCGCCATCCCTGGGAGGAGGAAGCAGCACCCTCCTGCCTCCCCGCCCGGCTCCTTGCTGGTCCGGTTCTGCTGGACCCCCCCCCCAGGCCCTGCTGTGCACAGAAGCTGCCCCCAGCCTTGTGCTGGCGCAGCCAAAGGGGGCCATGGGGAGGGGGGTCTCTAATGGCAGCTGGTCTCCGGGAGCCCTGGGCAGGTCAGTAGTGGGCTCTTCCACTCGCCTGAGACACGAGTGGGTGGGTCCCCAGCTGTCCACTTGGCTTGAGAAGCAGAGGCCAAGGGGAGGGGCTGGGGGGTTGGCCGTTCTTCCACTGACCTTCAGCTGTGAGGGGGGGGGAGTGGGAGGAAGGCAGCTCTGCCTCCCTGGGCTTCCCTCTTGGCTGCCTCTTGTCCTCTGGGGGGGCACAACTTCCAGTGAGGCGCCATCTCCCCTTCCAGGCCTGGCATCGAGGCCGAACTGCTTTGGGCAGCCCTAAATGGCCACCACCACCATCATTGCCACCAAGATAGAAAAAGGAGGAAAACCTCTCCAGCTTCCTTTCTTTTTTTGCCAAGACCCCCCCCCTCCCCCAAATCTAGTAATTTTTCCTTAAAGGCCAACACTGATTGATTTCTTTGCTAGTGTTGTACCTGCCCCCTCCTCTTTTATTTATTTGTTAAATTTCTGTGCCGCTTCTCTTGCCCGGGGGGGGGGGAGCTACTCTCTTGCCAGCAATTTGGCCACACTTGTTTTCAGCCAGTTGTCCCAGTTGCAGCCCTGGCTGCCTTCAGCTTATGGGAGGGGGGGACTGGGGGAGTTGCTGCTCGTCCCCCTGAGGCTGGCGGGGGGGGGCTGAGGAGGACTCAGTGGGCCAGGGCCTGGGCGGGGGCAGAGCGGCCTGGGGGGGGCAGCCATGTTTGGGTACCTGAAGGGGAGCCACAGAGAGGGACTTCCAAGCGCCCCCCCCCCAGTAACAGCTGGAATTGGCAGCTGGCTGTTGCGAGTCATGAAGGTCACAAAGCGGCTCGTGGATTTTGTGACTCCTTTTATGCAGGTGCCATGGCCATTAAGCAAACCCCTTGTTTGCTGTGGGGAATTTTTTTCCTAGGAAGCCGGAAGTAAACAGTTTCCAGGGGGGGGGGGGAAATAGCAGGTCACATGATCAGCATCAGTGCGATCTGATTGCCAAGTGCCCTAAATATGGGCACTTGACTGCGGGGTGGGGGGAGAATGTCATAAATTTGGAACGGGCATAAGTAGAGGAGGTCTGTCATAGCCTGGAATGGCTGCCGAGCAACTGTTTAACCTGCAAACATCTGGGAAGAGTTGGAATTTAGAGGCATCTTTGATGAGCGGAAAGCAATCCCTCCTCCATAACTTGCTTTTTCCCAATTTTGCAGGAATTTTAAGTAAGACAGATGCCTGTTTTAGTTCCTAAGTGCCCCCAAAGCTCCTTCGCCCCCCTCCCCGGTCACTTTTCTCTCGGTTGTTCCTCTGAGGGGTCTGAGGTCACAGGACCCCCAGTTTTGCTGCCAATGTGGCGCATTTAGGGGGTGGGGAATCTTGCAATTGCTGTAAGGTAAGACCCAGAAGGGAGCTGAGGGGAGGGGCTGGGGGGCTTGTGGAGGGCAGCACCCCAGTTCCAGCATGGAGAGGCCGGGGGGCTTTAAAGGACTTCCTCAAGGCCGGGGGGAGACCCTCAGCTTCAGCCGGTCGGGGCAGCCAGCAGGGACGTTGCCCGCTTTCCCCAGGCATCCCCACTGGCATAGAGAGGATTCTCCAAGGATCTGGGGACACCCGGTGGCTGGTGGCCCCCAATTTCTGCCCTTGGCCATGGGCCCATTCTGCTGGCACTGAGCACTGCTGGGGCTGCCGAGGGGCTGCGTTATCCTCTGTGGCATCTGTGGGGCCACCCGAGGCCAGAATCCTCCGGGGGGGGGGGACTGCTCGCTGGGACTGCTTGTGCCCTGCGAGGCCAGAGCTAGCCCTGACCCTCCCCGCTTCCTTCCCCAGGACAGGGGCAGCGCAGAGATCCTGCAGCTGGATTACCGCACCCTGGCAGCCCTGCCCAGCAGCAGCGGCCGTCTCCAGAAAGGCCCCGTTGGCGTGAGTGACAGGCGCGCTCCTTTGGGGCGGGGGTGGGGGAAGCCTGCCCTGGCTGTGGGTGTGGATGGGGCCAGGTTTCCCCACTCCCATGGTCAGTTCCTTCCACGAGGGGTCCCGGGGCTCGTTGTCTCCGGCTGATGGAAGGGGGCAGCCCTAGAGCCCACTTCCGAGCAGAGGGGGGTCTTTCCTCGGTCCCTCTTTCTGCCACCGGGGTGGGCAGGTCAACGGGGATCTTTCTTTTGCCCCGATCAGCAGCCTCCTAAAGGGCAGGGTGAGCCAATGTTACGTCCATCGACTAGGTTCAGCACCCATCTGGACGTCAGGAAATAATCCAGTCTTGAGCAAATGCCCTGTGGAGTGGACAGGACAGGATGGGCAGGCCAGTGGTTGCCACGTGTCCATCCAATTAAATTTACTTACTTATGCTTGTTTGTTCAATTTGTATGACTGTCTATCTCTCCAAATAACTTTGGGCAGTGAATAACATTTTAAAAATAAATCAATTTCAGCAATACAGAAATTAAAATATATATAGCAGCTGAGAAAAAGCACCCATTGTAATCACTGGATTAAGCAAGAAATGGCTCCCTGCACACACTCGGACCTTTAAGGATGCACGAAAAACCAGCCAAGGGTGGGGGGGAGGACCGTTGTCTGGGGCAGAAAAGACCCCCACCTTCCAGGCCCGCCAACTGGCGTCCCTCAGCTGAGGCGCTTCAGAGAGCATGCTCTTCTCCCTGCCTGATGGGATCTGCAAGCGGCCTTGCGTAGTGAGAAGGGCAGTGTATAATTTTAATAAGCAAATAAAAAAAAGTTCTTGGATGTTTGCATGGAGAACGTGCAGCCGGGAATTGCCTTGGCAAATGGTTCAGGGAGCTGTGCCCACCCTGAGGTCTCTCCAAGGGGAAGCAGCCCTCCCGCACAGTTGGGGGGGGGGTTTCTGATGGCCGCCTCCTTCCTCTCTTACAGGGTCTGGCAGTGGGGGAAGCCGAGTCCGGCCGGCGAGAGCCTCCCAGCAGCCAACAGGTAGGGAGGCTCTGGGGAGAGGCCCAGTCTGTGCCAGCTGCTCCTGCAGCCGGTCAGCCTCTCTCTTTCTCTCTCTCTCTGCTTCTTTCTCTGGCCTGGTCATTCTCTAGTGCTCGGCCCTGTCCCGGCCTTTCTGCCTGGTGGGCAAAGAGACACGTTTTGTAAGTGCTCCTCAGTTGGTGCCCTCCTCAGTTGGTGCCTCTCCCCCAGCTTCTCTGTCCTGCTTGGGGGGGAAGCAACTCCCCTACTTTACGACAACATGTGGTCAGTGTGCAACATGGGGGGGGGGGAAGAGGCCTCCCAGACAGAGCCTGAGCAGCCAGTCTGGGGATGAGCCCTGAAATCTGGAGGCCGGAAGGGCTGTTAGACGGAGGCCCGTCTGTTTCCCGGATCGGCTCTCGGTGCTCCCGCTTGGTCTGAGCTGCTCCTGGCCTTGGCCTGCTCCAGGCTGCCCTCTGACCCGCTCCTCTCTCTGATGTGCATGCAGACCAAGCCCGGGAGAATTCAGCCAGTCTCTCGCCTGCGCCTGACCTCAGCCCTGAGCCCCGCGGAGGGCCAAGACAATCCCAGCCCTATCCAGCAGCCTGAGCTGACCTCTGGCCCCAACGGTCTGGTGAGTCCTCAGGAGACGCCGCCCTCCTTGCCCTGCCTGCCTTCCCCTCTGCTCTCTCAGAGGCCCCCCGTCCATCGGGAGAGGCAGGGCGCAGGGACCGCAGGAGTCCCAGCAGAAGCCGGGCAGTCTCTGGTGGGGGCTCCCTGAGCCTTGGTGCCCCCCACGGCCAGTCAGTTGCCTCCCTCTGATTCTCCCCACAGCCTCGGCAGTCCAGACCCCTCTCGCCGAGGGAGGACCTCCCTGTCAGTGCCAAGCAGGCCTACAGGGCCTTGGCCGCCCTCCCGGGATTGCAGCTGCCCTTGGAGCTGGAGGTGAGGTGGGCTGGGCCTGGGGGGGGTCTGCGGCCCTGGCCTGTGCCGTGCTCACCCCGTGTCCTGCCCCTTCCCCCCCACAGGAGCTGCCGGGACAGAGGAGCCTTGAGCAGGCACTGCCCGTCTCTTCCGAGGTACGACGCACAGGCAGTGGGAGCGGCGTCAGGGCAGGGCACCTGAACCCAGCTGACCCCACACGTCTTCGTGCCTCTGCCCCACAGACCCCATGGCCAGGTGGCCCGCACAGCCCGGAGCAGCGGACCTTCCGCGAGAGGCAGAAGTACTTCGAGCTGGAGCTGAAGCAGCAGCCACCGCCTGCCGAGAAACCCCTGAAGCGAGTCTCCCTGGTCGGGGAGGAAGACCTGAAGAAAATGAAGGAGGAGGAAGGTGGGGCTGGGGTGGGGGGGGCAGGGGCGGAGTCCTTCTGGCCGAGGTGAGCCCCTCCCTTGCCCACTCCTTGGGGCTGAGGGGCTGCGCTCCAACTGCTTCCATGCCCATCTAGCTGGTTTTTCCCACCCAACCCCCTGAGTCCCTGGGGGAAAGCAGGTCTCACTGGACCAGCAGCGGGGGGGGGGGGGTTGCTGATCTGGGGTGGGGCTTGGATCTGGTCTCTGCAGCCGGCCTTTTGGGAGCTGCTCTGGAGGGGCAGGCAGAGGACAAGCCCAGCGGTTCCGTTTCATCTGGGGTGCTTCTCCCTTGCGATTGTGTAGTGTGTTCATTCGACTGCTCTCTCAAGTCCCTCCCTGCACATGTGGCAGCCTCCGTCCCTGCCCCGTCCAGCTGCTGGTTGGGTGAAATTCAGGGGACCTCCTATTCCAAGGAGGAGGCTGTGAGGAGGGGGGTCCCTATTTTGACAGCCCCCCATCTCTTTCTCAGCAGCTCGGAAACTGCAACAGAAGCGAGCCCAGCTGCTGGAGGAGGAGGAGGAAGATGAAGAGGGGGAGGAGGTGGCACACGGCCAGCCCCCCCCAGGCATGGGCGGCCCCTCCAGCATCTTCATCGAAGGCGTTGAGTACAGAGTTGAGAAGCAGAACGGGAACAATCTCTCCCCCACCGCTTGGTGAGCTCCCTTCCCAGCCGTTGCCTCTGAAGCGTGCCAGCCCTGCAGAGTGGGTCTGGCCTGGAGGGGGCCCCACGGCAGGGCCGGGCCTCTCTCTTGCCAAGACAGCCCTCCCCCTTTCGCTCTGGGGCTGGGTGGCAGGGGCGCCACTCTTCTTCCAGACTGCCCTGGCAAGGTGGCTGCCACATCCATGGCAGGGAGAGCCGCCATACCGGCCCCGAGAGGTGTGCCCGGCCCAGTGCTGGCTCCTGGGGTCCGTCCCCCTTCCCTGCCTCTTTCTGGGGTAGGGGGCATCCTGGAAACCTTTTCTGGACTTGTGGTGCCATTGGGGTGTTGTCCGGAAGACCCTGGCTGTGGCCAGCCCTCCTTTGCGCCTTCCAGGCTCCTGGACCCCAACACACCCAACGGCCCCCAAGGAGGAGGAGGGCTCGGCCCCGCCTCCTCTGGTTGAGCAAGCAGGAGGGAAGGAGGGAGCGGAGGGGGTTCGCGGGCTGAGCCTCAGCCTCCCTCTGACAGGATGAGTCCCGTCTGCGCCAGAGGGGGGGAGCCGGGGGTGCCGGTCCGGACAGCCAAAGCCGAACGGCGGCACCAGGAGCGCCTGCGGATGCAGAGCCCGGAGCTGCTGGCCGCCCCAGAGAAGGAGCTCTCCCCGGCGGAGCGCCGAGCCCTGGAAGCGGAGAAGCGGGCCATGTGGCGAGCAGCACGGTAGGTGTCGGGGGGAGCGGCTGGAGGGCCTGGCGGGGGTTCCCAGGCAGGACCCACAGCACCCCCAATGGCTCTTTTTCCCTGCGGCAGAATGAAGTCCCTGGAGCAGGATGCCCTCAAGGCCCAGATGGTGATTGCCAGGTCCAGGGAGAACAAGAAGCGGGGCACGCTGGAGCAGCTGGCAGAGTCGCCCTCCCCGGCCCCCACGCCCTCCCCCACGCCCTTGGAGGGTGCGTCTTCTCTTTTGATGGACGTTGGCACTGCGGGGGGGAGGGGGAGGGGAGGTGGCGGCAATTGTCTCTGAAGCTCCTCTGCCCAACCCTCTTTTGCAGACGGCGCTTCCTGGGTCGCAGTTTCGCCAGGCCGGCTGGTAGGAGACGCCTACGCAGCAGAGAGGCTGCTCCTGGGAGGGGTGCCAGGCACTGCGTGGCACGGTCACTTTGGGGGCCCCATCTGGAAAGGACTCCTGTCCCTTAGCTCTCCTGCGCTGCTGGCCCCCTGCCCCCCAGCCCCCCCAGCGCAGGAAATCCGTTCTGCAGCCGGGCAGCGGTGTCTTCCTTCACCCCCTGCCAGGAGGGCACCTGGGGCAGGAGAAAGGCGCTCTGGGGTCTGGGGGGGCACCTAGGGGCCCAGGCCCAAGGCAGCTAGAGGAGCCCCACTCTCCTCTCCCTGGAGCAAGTGAGGCTTCCTTGGGCAGAGGTGTCTCCTGCTTTCCCGGGCACTGGTCACTCTTGTTTTCTCTCTCTCTGTCTCTGTCTCTGTCTGTCTCTCTCTCTCTCTCTCTCTCTCTCTCTCTCTCTCTCTCTCTCTGCTTCCCTCTCCCCCGGCCCTCCCCGCCGGCCCTTCCAGTCTCTGCCTGAAAAGAAGTTCCTCTACAGGGAATTTGCGGCCATTCCTTCTTCCAAACCTGTATATGACATCCAGGTACAATTTGCACGGAGCGGGACATGGTCAGGAAGCTCCCCTCTGCCAAGAGGGGGTGCCGAAGCCCACCTGGGGCCTCTGGGGTGCTTGGCAGCAAGAGGTGCTCCCTCTCTGCAGCTGGAGGTTTGAGCCCCCCCCCCCAATGTAGCCCGGAGCCCAGAGAGGCCCTTTGCCCTCTGCCCATTTATTAAGCAGCCACCACCTCACCCTGTGTCAAGGGACCCCAGGGGTTAAGGAGGCGCTTTGGTCTGCCCATCGCCCTGGGGCTGCTGCTGCCCGCTCTCCCCAGGCCAGGTGGCCCTTGACCCCTCTCACCGACCGGCCTTTTCTCCCAGGAAGGAGCTTGGCTGCCCCCCCTCCCCTGCGTTTCTCCCACCTCCCTGGCTCTTCCTAAGGGGGTGAATGGGGCTGGACAGGGCACCCTGGGCGCAGGGCCCCCGGGGGGGATAGTCCGTCAAGGCCCCCTTCTTCCCTCGGGGTCCCTGCACAGACCGTGAGCTCCATTGAGCTCCGTGGCCTGTTGCCCCCTTTGCCAAGCCTTTCCTTCGCCTGGTGAACTACGTGTGCTGCTGTGGGTGTGTTTGTATGTGGCTTCCCTGGCTTGACAGCCAGCAGAGGGGCAGCAGGGTGGCCACTTGGCGGGAAGCATGGAAGGACGGGACCCCTGAGAAGGGGCTGCTTTTCTGCCAGTAGGAGAGGGGGAAGGGCCACCGATCCCTGCCTTGAAACTGTGTGTGTGTGTGAGAGAGAGAGAGAGAGAGACTTGGAGTCAGCATTGACGCCTGGCTGCTACCTGGGCCAGTCCTGCCACTTTCTCTCGGCAGCCCCTGAGGAAGTGGCTTGGAGCCCTGGGCAGGACTCGAACTAAGCTCCTTACCCACTGCACTAGACAGGCCTCACTCTGACCCCCCCCCCAACAGATGCTGAATGGAGTGCCAGTGATGCCAGCCCCTTTCCTCCCTGCTGATTTGAGGGGGGGCTGGATGGCACGCCGCCCCTGGATGGGAGGAAGTGCCCCAAGTTGTGAGTGGCTGAGTAAGGCTCCTCAGGAGGAGGAGGAGGAGGGGGGGGCTGGGGGGCACGGCTGCTTCCTGAGAGCATGGAAGGATCTCCATTTCCTCCTGCCGGCCCTTTCCGTTCTTTTTCCTTTCTCTCTCTCTCTCTCTCTCTCCCCTTCTCTCCTCCGTGCCACTCAGCCGAGCCCCATGATGGCAGGTGGCGGTTGGGGGGGGACACGCGAATCGTGGTCTGGCCAGGGCTTCTCGGCCCTCTGGTGCAGGACCCTAACCTGAGTCTCTAGCAGCCTCTTTAAAAGAGCCCCCCCGGACCCTCGTCCCACCCCTCCATCCCTGCGGCCAGCACGCGCCTTCCCCTGATTCCTGCTCTTTCCTCCTTGGGGGCCCCCTTCTCTGGCCACCCCCAGCAAGGGGGAGGCAGGCAGGTGCCTCACCCTCCTCTGTTCTTGCAGACTCCGGATGGGCGAGAGTCCTGCAAGCGCTTTGGCAGCCTCGACAGCAGCTCAGGTGGGTAGATGGCCAGCCTCTCTGCAGCCCAGGACTGCTTTGTCTCAGCAAGAAGGGGGAACGCGTGGCTGGGCCGTTGCACAAGAGGATAGGACCCCCCAAGGCCATGCTCAGCCAGCTTCCTGCCCTCAGGTCTGGCGGCTCAGCCCCCCCCCCGCTGTTCCCCCTCCTCCTCAGCCTGCAGGTCCTGGTCCCAGGGAAGGGGGGGCTCCTGCAGAGTCCTCCTGCCTTTCGCACTCCGCCTGTGGAGCGAGGACCACGTTCCCAGAAGGCGCCTGGCTGAAGAGCAGGTTGACTTCTCTTTCCTCCCCTCAGGGCGCCAGGAGCACGGTGGGACCCCGGAGCCCTTGATGACCCACGGCCCCTCTGCGAGCCAGGAGCTGGGGCTGTTTGGTGACGAGCGCAACCTCCAGCAGGCCCAACACAGCTTAGAAGCCGCGGTCCCGACATAACACTCCAGTCCTTGGAGACTGTATGGACACAGCCAGGCCAAGGGGATGATGGAGTGGGGTGTGAGGCCGCTGGCCGCCTTGATGGACCGTGGGGCTGTGGACCTGCTTGCAATGCACTGGGGCAGGTCGTGACAAATCGGAGATGGAGCATTGGGGGTGAGGGGAACCGATGGGATGTGAGGTCTGTAAATAGCGGGTGGGTGGAGGACGGCCACGAAACTGTTTCCATTCGGCATCAGCCGTGGTCGCCGGAGACCTGCCGGGCGTAACCAACCAGCAGTGGGGCCCCCGTGCCTATCCCCCACCTTGGGACCCCAGCAGCACCTGCTGGTGAAGTGGGGCAACGTTTGGGCGCCGCCCTGCCAGGCAGAGTAGAGAAGGTGAAGCCGAGTGGGGCGGGCTAGTGGCATTAGGCGTGGCAAAGCAGAGCTTGGGGGTTGGAATAATGGGGGGGGGGCTTCCAGGGGAGTCCCAGGATTGCGATTGTGGCAATCGGTGGTTCACGGCCTGGCTGGTGGAGCTGGGGATGGGGTGAGGGGCAATGCTGGCCCTCACCGGGCAGGCTGCCAGGTGCCCACAGGACGGGGCATCGCTCCGGCCAGCTCTCTAGGGAGGCTCATTTTAACAGGAGTGCCCATGCTTGGTTTTGGGAAGGTAGCGGGGGGGGGGCTGTGTCTTTTTCTCCAGCTATGAAGGCGGCTTCTCCTCCGAGGTCCCCCCCTCCTTAGAGCTTCTTGTTTTTAAACTAATTTTAGCATTTGCTTTTAATGAGCAGCTGGGGAGTGATCAGGCAGGGTTTCCGTGGCTAACTAACTTATAGGTGCTGGGCTGTGATCCATCTCTCCTCCCCCCTCCCCCAGGGGAGTCCGGGGGAGATCAAGACTGTAACTAGTGACATTTGTACAACCAAAGAAGTCTATTTTGTGGTTCAATGATAATAAAGTTTAGTTTACCTTTTAGAGCCCTGGATCCTTCCTTGACCTAGCCGGCCCCAGGGCTGCTCTCCCTCCCTCCCTCTGCAAAATTAGCAGCATCCCCCTCCCCAAAGGAGGCCAACTGGAGGGGGGCTGCCTTCCAGGAGGGATGGTAAAGAACATCTGGGCTGCTTTAAGGTAACCCTCAAAAGGAATGAGACCCAAAGCTGTGGAGGGGTAGCCGGGGGCAGAAATGCCGGGGGGGGGGGCTTAAGGGCCCGGTGTGGGCAGATGTAGAACAGGTGAGGAGGGCTTGGCATTGATCCCTCCGTGGGCAGAGACCCCAACGGAGGGGGGACCCCTCCCCCGCTTCCGCTTCCTCCCCTGTGGGCCTCCGGAAGGAGCACCTGGAGTGACTCCGTCCTCTTCCTCTTCGCTCTTGGCCTGCCCTTCTTCCTCAGAGCATCACATGGGGCAGGAATGCTGGCCAGTACTGACCGCTTCCTCCTGTCCAAGCCGAAAGGCCATGTCGGGTTGTGGTTAAGGCACCAGGCTAGAAAGCAGGAGATGACGGTGAGTTCTAATCCCAGCTTAGCCATAAAGACTGACTGGCTGACCTTGGGCCAGTCCCTCTCTCTTGGCCCACCCCACAGGGTTGTTGTTGTGGGGAAAAGAGGAGGGGGCTGTTAGATGTGCTCCTTGGGTTATTTGTAAAACATATTAAAGGCAGGATACAAATAAGTTTAAAAAAATTAATAAAATAAGGCCTCGGGAGACTTGTAGCAGGATCCAAAGGAAACGGCTCCAGAGACCTGCCCGTCCCATGGCGTATCTCACCGCCCGGTCCTCTGGCACTTCCTTCCAGGTACTAAGGACCTTAGTATTTTTCCCGTCGGTCCTCCAAGCTAAGCCTAGCAAGTGGCCCTTTCTCTGTTTGGAAGATACAATTTCCAGTCTTGCCATCCCCCTTAAGATGCCTCTTTTCCGGGCCTCCTGCAGGGGAGGGTGGCCTGGCCGCTTCCTGGGGTTCGGAAGTGACGTTTCTCTGGACGCAGCCCCAAAGGACGAGCCTCGTTACTGGTGCCCGGTTGGCCATCAGTGCTGCTTATTTTGAAGTTCCCAAGACAGATAGCGGCTGTCCCGCAGCTGCGCATAAGCACGTGTGCGTCCGTGTGTGCACGCACGGTGTCTGTCTCTCTGACCTTGAGAAGTGGTTGTGACCGTTTTGCCTCTGGGGGACTAGCCGGCTTGAGGGGTTTTGTGTCGTCTGCACATGGATGGGCTAGGTGGTCATTCTGGCTGCCCCTTCAGGTGGAGGAGGGGCCGGGCGCTTACTGACACAGGTTCCTGTCCTTTCGGCCGGTGGAAACTGAAGTCTGCAGCTACTTGGTAAAATGTGTGACGGACCTTTTTTCTTTCCCTTGGCTTCAGCCAGACACTGGGGGGGGCTTCCTCTCCCCCACCCCATCCCGTCATATGCAGTCTAGCCTTGCCCAGAGCCACGTTCCACATTTACCCCCCCCCCTTTAGTCTGTCCCAAGGACGAGGGCTAAATTAGGCCACCTGTTGCCTTACCAAGTTTTATCAAATTGGGTCACCGGCTTAAGCCGTGATAGGCTTCTCTTTGGCCATTCCATTGGACCTAAAGACAGGAGTTGTCCTTTGTTAAGGGGTCAGCATTGAACGACTCGGATAAGGGGAGGGGCAGGCGGGCAGAGGCCTGGAGAAGCTGCCATCCAGGCATGGGGTGGCAGAGGGACTTTCCTGGAGGGGAACTGAGGAGAAAGGCTCGGAAGAGACCATCTTGAGACTTTCCAAAAGAACAATTCTTTATTGGTGCTCATGGCTTCTTCATGGTCTGCCAAGGTAACAGGAAGGCCTTCTGGGCTCCTCCCTCCCAGTCAGCGCATGGGGCTGGCAGGAGCCACTTGGGGAGGGGGGGTGGTCTTCTGAAGCCCGGCTTTCTGAAAAAGAGCCTAGGGTAGTCAGGAAGCCTCATCTGCTGCTGCTGCACCAGGGGGTGGGCACTGCCCATCCTGCCTGCCTCCCTGCCGCGGGTCACTGCAAGATAAGCACGCACCCCTCAGGGTGCTGTTGAACTGGGCACTGCCAGGCTGTGCCTACCGCCTGGCCCCGGACAGGAGGACCTGGACGGGGAGGAGGGTCTGCAGCAGGTCTTCAGGGGGGTGGTGGCGCTTAGTGACCACAAAGAGCCTGAACTTCTCGATCCGAGCAACTTGAAACTCAGTCTCTGCATATTCTGGTCCATCTGTTGGCCTCAGTAAGGAGCGATACCTGCCCAAGACAGAGGAAAAGGGATCCAAAGGCCCGGCCATTCTGGGCAGAGTGGGGCCACCGGCTGAGAACAAGATGGTGCCCGGGGGAGGGCCTGGCTGGCAACTCGCGGTGCTCTCTCAGGTGGGCAATGCCCCGTGCTACAGGTGGAGGTGAGGCAGAGCAATCAAACAGCCCCTCCCTTGGGACCACCTGTCTCCCCGAGTGTGGCTGTGGGTGAGGATGGCAGAATGCAAGTGGGGTGCTCCCCTTCATCCATTGGGGTGGCGATGGGTCAGCCTGTCGGCCAAAGCCTCAAGGAACGCTGTGGGACGCTGGGGGCAGAGAAACTCCAAGGCTGGCGGGATGCTAACCTTTCCACCTCTCTGCCAGGGAGTTGGGGTTAGGGGTCCAGAAGTGCCTTATGCGAACCCAGCTGGGGGTGGGGGAGGAGTCACAGCAGTACAGAGCTGGGAAGATTCCAAAGAAAGGAAAGCTATGGGGGGGGGGGGAAATTGAAAAGATCCCCCAGGAGAAAAGCACTTGCAGCTGACCTGCATGGGAAAGCTCACAACAACGCTTTAAACAGGGAAGACCTGGAGCTGCCTTCTTACAACACACTAAGCTTGATTAGAGCTGACCTTGGTTTGAATTTTCTGTTCCGTAACATGTAATGCCAACTCAGCCCAGCTGGTTCCCCTGTGACTTAAGTCCAGTAAGTGGTCTGATTCTTTGGTTAATCCTTAAGACACTGAACTGTGTCTTAAGGATTAACTGCTGCTGACTGTGTTGTATGAATGCAGCCACCATGGAGCCCCTCCCTGGGCTTACTGGGCCAAATGGTTTTACTTGAAGTGTGATCAGTGGGGATGGTTGGATTTGTCTCTGACGCTCTTCCGAGGGCCACGGGCTCCCTTTTTGGAAATGGCCAGATCCACACAGCTCACAGGAATTGCATCTCGGCCTCTCTCAGGAAAACCTTGGCTCCTATTGGAGCCAGGAAGCCTCCGACCAGCGTCCACCAAAGGGGATCCAGGACACGACGGCCACTGCAGCGGTTGGGAGTACCCTGCACCTCATCCCAGAACCTCAAGGTCTGTTTCTGTATCCCACGGCTGGTGCGTGGCCCTGCTGCCTTTCCTTCAGATGACCTCCAGCCGCCCCATTCGTGGGTTCTCCGTGGGCACCCGAGAGGGCTCTGGCCCCTCAGAAGTTACCCTTGGCTGCTGGCGCATCGTTAAAGGGCTCACCTTTCATTCCCAAGGATTTTCTTGCTCAGCAGGGCCTGAGTGAGGCCCGTCTCTAGCCGTTCCAACTGCTTTTTCACCGTGTCAAACATGTCCAGTTCCATCATATCAAAGACCAGGGGCTTTCCATAGCTGGCCATGGGTGGAACAGAGCCCGAGGGGTGGGGAAAGAAAGGGAGGGGGAGAGAGTTGTGCCCCTGTGGACGTCACCAGCCAGAAGGCCCCTCTGGTGCTTCCCCTACCCACCTGCGTCATTGTTTCTGGCACACCTGCTGCCCCTCCCACCCTGCACCTGAATCAGTGCTCCTTTAGAGGGAAAGGGCTGCCTCCTCTCTGGCCGAACCCTACCGGAGAGACCCCAGCAAGGCCAGGCGAATGGCTTCCACGGCCATGTCGGCAGGAGTGGCAGTGTTCAGGTAGTTGGTGTCACGGTAGCGCAGGAAAATAGCTGCCTGCCCAGAGGGATCGATGACCAGGGGCCAGCTGTGGGAGAGAAGGAGAGAGCTCGGGGCTGGGCCAACCATCTCCCGCTGGAGCCCAGGGGCCTTCCTGGGGAGGGCTGCTGGGGAAGGGCCCTCCCGCCACTCACCGCCCGTCGGCCTGCATTTTCCCACCCACGTCTTTCATCAGCACATCGTCCAGCTCCTGCACAAAGCACGTGAGGCCCGGAATCTCGGAAGGCGAACCTGCCAAGGAAGGACAGACAGGTGAGGGGCCGACTGGTGGTTGCCTTCCACACCACGAGGGAAGCCCGGCAGCGCAGCATTGCCCTCTACCTCAGGGCCCGCTCCCCAGTGCCTGCTCTGGTTGCAAAAGCTGAGCGGCTGTCTTTGTGGTGTCCAGCCACACCTGGCCCAACTGGGCCAGGGCAAAGACGAGCCCCTCTGTTGTTTGGGGCAAAGTCACTTGTGCTCAAAAAGGGTCCTGGCTTGGGGGCAGCAGGGAGCTCCTGAGGGGAAGGCAGGAGCTGAGCTCCCGGCCCAGGAGCCTCTCTGGAGGAGCCGGGCAGGATGGCCTCACCCCTTGCAACCACCGTCCGCCTCCTCACTGACCCTCCTGCATTTGCTCTCGCAGCTTCAGGCGGGCCAGGGACAGCTTCTCTTCAGCCTCCTCAGCAGCCAGGCGCAACGTCTCCACCAGCTCTTCCGCATCGGCTATGGCCTGTCCCAGGAAACACCCCTGGCTAGAAAGGCCGGGCCTGGCCCAAGGGAGCCTTCCCTTGCCTGGCGAAGGAGTGAAATGGGGTGAGCCCTCTGCCTTACTCAGCTCCCCTGGCGCTGCCCAGGTAATATATTATTTGATGTCCAGGTGCCCTGCCCATAGTTGGCACTGAATTGTTAGCTACTTACAGCTGTCCCCAATTGCAGGCATCCCCCCCCCCCCAAGACAGAAATAGCCACAGCAATCCAGTACTTCCTCTGAATTCTTCAGGGGGCCTCCTTTCACAGCCCCTGCAGACGGGCTGGGTGGCACCTGGCCACCTGCACTCCGTCACCCAGCTCCTAGCTGGCCTACACTGCAGGGAGAATCTCACTGTGCCCTGGCAAAGAGCTCAGAGCACCACAGCCTGGAAATTGGCAGCACACAAGCATCCCTGAACGGCCCATGGGAGGGCACCCGGGAAGGGGAGCGGTGCTTACGTGCAGCGTCAGCTCTCTGTTCCCCATCTGCTTCCGCTGGCACTTGTCGTGCTCCGTTATCCGTCGGTTGAGCTCTGCGTAGGCCTGCTGCAGCTGCAAAGAAGGGAGGCTGTGTGCCTGGGAAGGTTCAAGTGGACGGAGCCATCCCACTGGGGGTCACTGACAAAGCCACAGGGAGGCCAAAGCCCCCAGGCCAAGAACGACGTGCGGAGCAGAGAGTCTCCCAGGGACACAGGCGGCACTGGACCTCACCTCCCTGCTGCATCTCTCGTGCTCCTTGGCTAGCTGCTCCACGGCTTCGGTGGTCCTGTGGGGACCAAGAGGCATCAGGGTCCCCTTCGAGACGCTTGTGGGGAGCATGTTTCACACACACACACACACACACACACACACACTTGTCCTGCTTCTCCGAAGGGCCAAGTCCTTGGAGTGGGACTTTGTGACCCCTCCTGTCCTGAAGATCCAGGCTGCCTCATGGCTTCTTTGAGTGATGCTGTCCCCCCCCTTATAAGAAAGAGGGTCCACACCATCTCTGCGGGCATGTCCAAACACAGCAAAAGTTGTTCACAATAAAAGCAGCACAATAGATAAAACACTGCATTAAAACAATATAGAAATAGTTGATTAAAAAGAGAGGGAAGGAGAAAGAGAAATGGAGAGAGAGCGGTGATTCTTCTGCCATTTATCCTGAGCTGAAGGAGTTTCCACAGACCCCTCTGAATGGCGCTTGGGGGCAGGTGGGAGAGGGCACGGGAGGAGACTCCAGACTGCTGGGGATTGGCCTGTTCTCAGTGAGCAGCCAGGTCTCCAAGGGGGAAGCCATCCTGGGGCCAAGCAGCTTCAGGCTTGCCCAGCACAACTCAACTAACCAAGGAGAGATTGAACCTAGGAGAAACATCCTAACAGTGAGGACAATTAACCAATGGAACAGCTGGCCTCTAGAAGTGGGTGCTCCAACACTGGTAGTTTTTAAGAAGAGATTGGACAAACATTTGTCTGAAATGGTGTAGGGTTTCCTGCCTGGGCAGGGGGTTGGGCTAGGAGACCTCCAAGGTCCCTTCAACTCTGTCTAATGCGTGGTTGCCGTGCTTTGCGGGTGGGTGTAACGTTCCAAGGCCATCCCTCCCCAAGAAACCACCTCACAGGCCTGGCCCAGGAGAACGCTGTAGCTCAGGGTCCTTATACACACACTTCTTCTGAAGCTAGGAGCAGGGGGCACTGTCACTCCTTGGCGAGAGACAGCCCTACGCAAGTCGCAGCAATTCGCATCTGTAGAGTGCAGTTCAACAGGTCCATTGAAGGGGCAAGAAGAGACGAGAGACCCTGCTTCATCAGGCCTCGGTGTGTGTGTGTGTGTGTGTGTGTGTGTGTGTGTGTGTGTGTGTGTGTTAAAGTGGAAAAAGACCGACACACTAGGGAGGGGCCAGGGCTAAAAACCCTGGTCTGCAGGTAAACAAGCCACACTCACCTAAAGAACAGCTTCTTCAGGTCCTGAGGGATTTGGCCTGGGAGGCTTCCAGGAGCTGATGCCCTTCTGTCATCCTTGCACTGCTTGGGCCCAAGAGTGGTCAGCCAGCTTGCAGCCCCCCCCCCACTGCTCCACCAGGCCAACTGCAGAACAATTCTGGAGGGATACCTGGGCTTTGCGGGCAGCAGCAGTGGCGATGGCCATAGGAGACACAGACCTGCTCCATGAGGGCATCAAGGTCGTCCCGAAGAGCCCCCAGATGCTGGTCCCTCGCAAGCGCTGCAGTGGGGGGAGGGGGACGGAGAGGGGAGGAAGGGACTCACTGGCGCACTTCAGCTTCCTTGTGCCTCTGCTTCTGCTGGACTCTCCGCTGCTGCTCAGCCTCCATCTTTTGAAGCATGGTGTCCGTCAGAGTGATGTCCCAGGCATTCAGGATGGCCACCACACTGTCCAGAGAAGCAATCTTGAGAGGAACAGCAGAAGGCCATGGCCTGAGATGCTCACCAGCAAGAATAGTATTCTTGACCACTAAGGATGACCAGGGCCATTCCTTCTGAGGAGCAGAGGGCCTTTGCTATGCCCAAGGCTTGGTACTGTCAAGCACAGCCTTCGGGGGGTCTTCCATCCACACACCCAGCCCCTCGCGCATATGGGATGCATACAATCCAGGTCCTTGGCCCATTGAAAGCCTCCAAGGAAGCAGTCTTGGCCTTGGGGACTTCCATCTGCCTTCTCTGAGCCTGGAGTCCAGGGTTAGGGTCAGGAGTTCATAGCCACTATGGGAAACAGGGACCTGGTCCAATTGACCAGACCTGGACTCACTGCAGGAGTGAAGCTGACTGAATACAGGTGAGAGTCTTGGTTGGGGCCTGCCTTGTGGCAGCAACAGTGACCAAGAAGATTTATTGGTCTGCTCTTATTGCATCTACGGACGGGACGGTGGCTCTGTTTCAGGTGACCATCTTCCTTTTGGATAAGCACGGATCAGGGGAAAGGCTACAGGGATTATTCTTTACAGGATTACTTGAGAAAGTAATTCGGCTTCACTGCAGCTGGGCAGGTCCTAGGGCAGGGGTGTCAAACTCACAACGTCACTTGACGTATCGTGACTTTTTTTCCATTGCTGGCAATGGGCACAGTTTCATCAGGCTGGCAGTTTGACACCTCTGTCCTAAGGAGTTGGCGCGTAGACCCCTCTTCTTCTCTGCAGGAGTCTGAGCTGACCACTCCGGAGGAAGGGGGCAGAATCCTTGTCTCCTCCACGAGTTTGGCCACCTGTGTACTGCACGCAGGGTCCTTCCTGGCTGGCCAGGTTTCCCTGGGTGATGGCATGTGATTAGGGCTCAGTTATAGAACCAGGATGGCATTTGTTGCCCTGATGGATGACTTTTGAAGGCCGTGTGTGTGTGTGTGTGTGTGTGCGCGCGCGCGCGTGTATATGCGTGTGTGTGCTTGCTCTCCTGGATGTCTGGGCAACTTTTGATACCATCAACCGTGTGATCCTCCTGGATCTTCTCAAGGGCTCAGGAGTGGGGGGGGCACACTGCTTTGGGGTGGCTCTTCTCCTTCCTCCTGACCAGATCCAGTCAGTGTTGCCCCTGGCCCCAGCCTGTCCCTGTCCCGTGGGGTGGGGGGTCTCAGGGTCCTGGTCTTTCCCTTCTCCTGCTGCTCATGAGGAAGCAGCCCTGCCCCTTCTCATCCTTCACACCTGGGGAAAAGTGGTCTATTGGAAACAAATGGAGGTGTCCATTTGTTTTGATGCACACCTCCCCGGCTTTTGTAAACACGGCCTTGTGAATCTTGGATCTTGTTTCTTAGCTCTGGGCTTTGGGCTTCATTTGTGGATATTGCACTTGGCTCTCTGACTTCGGACTCTTGGATCCTGCTTTGGTTTTTGGAACCCTGGACTTGTGTTGCGGACCAGGGTGTGGTGACTTCCCTCACTGCCTCGTGGGTTGGCTAGGAACCGGGAACTGGGCGAGTCGGACTGAAGGAAAACCGAGGGCTGGGGCAGAGCTTCACCAGCATCCTTGTTGGGTTGTTTGGCGCTGTGTTAAGTGTGCCATAACCTCTTCCTTGCCAACGTGTCTTGGGTCGGAACACAGTGAGCTCAGCCAATGTAAGCACAGGGCAGGGTGAGATGGTGCGACAGTTGGCTCCAGATACGCGAGGCAGGGGGCACGGGTGCAGTTAAGCTGGCAGACCCAACTACAGCACTCGATGAAAGTTTTAAGTTGGCCAAGGGGTAGGCTGGGGGGCTGTTGACAGCTGTGACATGCCTATCAAAATTGCACCTTGTAGCGTAAAAGGAGTGAAGGGCAAAGAGCATGAATTAACAAAGGGAATGGGATGAATGAAAAACAGCCGCCTGGAATGAAGAGATCAGGGAAAGACCAATAGATCTGGACGAAGGTGACCAGATCACTGGAACCAGTGAAGGGCTGGAAGAATGGCGCTGGGCCCTCTCTCCAAAGGTGTAAACTGGCAACCAACGGGGTGCAAATGCAAGGGGGAGCCCCCTTCTCTGAGGGGAAGAGAGCTCCGCTCAGCAGTCCTGGAGGAACCAGGCAGGGGAGCTGTGGGGTGGAGGGGTGGAAACCCCTCAATAAAATTATTCTGTTAGGTAAATCAGTCTGCTACCTAACCCAAAGGGCTGAGTGGGGAGCAAGCAAAGAGGGAGCAGAGACCTGAGAATGAGGCAGAATTGAGCAAGTGAGTGGGGCCCTTTTTCCACAGTGCCCCCCCTCCCAATGTACAGGTAAGTCCTCCGGTTACAGTGGCAATGGGGACCCTGAACTCTGTTGCTAAGTGTTGTGCTCCTGAAGTGTGACAGCATATGACCGAGGGCAATTGAGGCAGCCGAGCCAGTTGTTAAGTAATGTTAAGTGATCGCAACTCCCAGCTTCCCATCAGCTTAGCCTCTCGGGAGCCTGAGGGAAGCTTTGGCAATTGCGGTTCTGAGGCTGCGATGGCCATAAATCTCCTCGTGGTCCCTTTAAAGAAGCACTGAATGAACAGTGCAACCCGAGGACCCACCTGTATAAAATTCCCTCCTCAGAGAGCTTGGTGGCCAGCATCATTTTGGCCCCAGGTAAAAAAATCTCCTCCCCCCCCCCCCAGGTTTTTAAACTAGCTTTTAATTCATGTTGTTTTAGTTTTTGAATGAGCACCTTGCTGTTGCCTGGTTTGCAATAAATGTTAGATAATATGGAGCAATGAAGCATATTATTATTATGTTAAATTTAATTTGATAAATTTATTTGTCTCCCATCTCATGATCTGAGATGATTCTGAGTGGCTACAGATTTGAAAATTAATATTTCAAAAATCATAATTGTATTTGACAGGGAATATAAAATTTGGTTTTTTAAATTTAATTTAAATATATATATAAGCTGTCGATGTAAGCAGTATCCAACAATAAAAAGAAAGAAAAAATCCAAGAAAGAAAGAAATTGAAACAAAAGAAGAAAATAAAAGAAGAATCATAAAAACCAACCCAAGAATGCAAAAAGCAACCTATGAGGCACCCTGAAGCCTGGGGAGAGCAGCAATTGCTCCCCTATCGCGAAACAGACCGGGGTCTTCACAGGGGGGCCGGCCGGCCGAAGAAAAGAGCCCAGCAGACACAGCGCTTCAGAGAGGACCCAACATAAAGGACACATCAGCAGAACAAGTTACGTAGCAAACACTACATCTGATTACTTGGGAGAAGGTTTATTGAAGACGGGGAAATTGAGGATGGGTACATGCCGGCGGTGGGTGGCGTGCTGAGCGCTTCTGCCCACCTTGCTCTAGGTGTGATAGGAGGGACACAAAGAAGTTGAGAGGTGGGCACCGATATTCCTCCAGCAACCACCTTCAGTGCGGTGCTTCCTCCCTGGGGCCCTGGGGCCACTGCCAGAGCCTCAGGCCTCTAGGGAGGCCAGGAGGGTGGGGGAAGGGCAGATCTCAACTCGGGTGGAGGGGGGAGCTAGATGTTCCAAAGGGCCAGGGCCACTGCAGAGAAGGGTCTTCTCCGGGAGCCCACCAGCCCGAGCGCCTTGGCTGATGGGACCCGCAGCAGCATGCTTCCTCTGCCGGCACAGGGGTGGAGCGGGCCTGTCCCATCGGGGTGAGATGGTCCCTCAAGTAACCCATGCCATGCTGGGCTTTAAAGGCGGTCACCCACACTTTCCCCTTACTTTGGCTTCCTACTTTTTATGCTTGGCATAAGGCTGCTTACCTTGCAAGGAACAGCTAACGGGGCCTTTTCCTGCAAGATAGCTTCACTCAGCCACAGCTGAGGAGGAGGAGGAGGAGGAGGAGGAGGAGGCAGAGGCAGGCATACCTGCTCCGGTGTGTTGCCATCATCAGCATAGAGTCGAGGGTCAGCTCCGTGCTGGAGAAGCAGCTCCACTGCTGCCAAGTGTCCCCCAAAGGCTGCTCGGTACAAAGGAGTCCGGTTAAAGGCACCCTAAGAAAAAAAAAAAGAAAGAAAGAAGAAAGGATAAAGAAGGAAGAGAAGGAAGGAAGGAAGGAAGGAAGGAAGGAAGGAAGGAAGGAAGGAAGGAAGGAAGGAAGGACGGACGGAAGGAAGGAAGGAAGGAAGGAAGGAAGGAAGGAAGGAAGGAAGGAAGGAAGGAAGGAAGGAAGGAAGGAAGGAAGGAAGAGGTTGTGCCAATCACATCACTTGTTAGGTGAACTGCACTGGGTGAGCGGATGTAGTACCAAAGGGGGCATCCTGAGACTATCTGGGAGTCAAGTCAGGTAGGATTTAAAGCCATCCTCCTGAGCTTCCTCTGAGAGAGAGGGCCAGAGTTCCTCCTGGGCCCAAAGGCTCGCTTCCTTCCCACTCGACGGGATAAATCAGAGGCTGGAAGTTGAGGACCGTAAGGAAGGCATGCAGGAACGCCTATCGAGGCCTGCTGTGGCTAGTTTGGTCATCTCTTCCCAGCATCATCCGATTAGATTAGGCAGGATTTTACTTGAAGTAGTTTGTGTGTGTGTGTGTATGCCTGTATGCGCACGCAATTAGAATCCAAAATGCAAGGACTGCCCAGGACCAGCCACACAGCACAGATCTGCTTTGTTTGTGATGCTGCTTGTCCTTGTGGGACACCCTGGAGGCGCCAGGGAGGCTCTATTTATTTCGAGTAACCGCTGCCAGGGGCTCTGGGTCCTAATGGCTCCTGGCAGGCACCCCCCCTCCAACTTCACACCATTGTTCCTTTGTTCCTCACATCTGACGTCCTCTCCTAAACCAGGCTCTTCCCAAAAGCAGCCTCCCCTCCCACCACTCCACAGCCGAGGGCTCTCTCTGGCCCTGAGGCCACAGGGCACCAGTGGCTCGACCCCCAAGTGAGCTGCACCCACACCGGCCCCAGCATACCTCCCTCACCATCTTCTCACCCTGCTGTTGGGATTGCCTCCGTTTTCTATCAGCATCCGGATGGCTTCGGGATGGCCCCCTCCAGAGGCCTCAGAGAGGGGGGTGTTGCCGTTGGCGTCCGTGCAGTCCACCATGTTGAGGAGATGCTGGAGCCGGACAACCTTCCCCTTCTCATCTGTTCCCACACCGTTCTTGGTGTCCAGATCCGCCACCTTGAAAGAGCGAGTGGGTGGTTTGTCCAAGAAGAGGACTGACCACTCTGCATGAGGTAAGACAAGGCGAGGCGAGTCTCGGGCCTGGCTGATGCGTGCTGCTCCCCGCCTCCCACCCACCCCCGTCTAATCTTCTTGCTGGTTTTGTGGAAATGCACCGCCATGAAACAGGTCCAAAGCTGTTGCGTTGGGAAGGCTCCCTCCCCACCTCCCTCCCCAAGGATGCCCAGAGCTCCCTGATGCTCCAAGCCAGCAGGGCAAGCCAGCCCCCTCCCACAGTGGCCGGAGGATCCTGGCGGCAGTGAGTGGAGTACCAACGTGACAGCTGTCTTACGCAGGAAGCTCCATCTAGGAGGGATGAGGCTCAGAAGACGAGGCAAGTTTTCTTAATATTCAAAACTGTTCAGATTCCAAATACCCAGGTTAATAACCTCATTTGGCTGACGGACTGACCTGGGACCTAACCATCCTGCGATTCCATAAAACTATAACTAGGCTCCAAGATCACCGCAGATGGGGACTGCAGCCAAGAAATTAAAAGACGCTTGCTCCTGGGGAGGAAAGCTATGGCAAATCTAGACATCATACTAAAAAGCAGAGACATAACCCTGCCAACAAAAGTGCGTATAGTCAAGGCCATGGTTTTCCCAGTTGCAATGTATGGATGTGAAAGTTGGAACATAAGAAAGGCTGAGCGCCAAAGAATTGAGCCCTCTGAACTAGGATGCTGGAGAAGACTCCTACGGGTCCCCTGGACTGCAAGGCGATCCAATCGGTCAGTCGTAGAGGAGATCAACCCTGACTGCTCTTTAGAAGGCCAGATCCTGAAGTTGGGAGACTCAAGTCCTTTGGCCACCTAATGAGAAGGAAGGACTCACTGGAGAAGAGCCTGATGCTGGGAAAGATTGAGGGCAAGAGAAGAAGGGGACGACAGAGAACAAGGTGGCTGGATGGAGTCCCTGAAGCAGGCGTGAGCTTAAATGGACTCCAGAAGATGGTAGAGGACAGGAAGGCCTGGAGGAACGTTGTCCATGGGGTTGCGATGGGTTGGACACAACTTTGCAATTAATGACAACAACAGGCTTTGTCAGGAGTTTGACGTAAACCAGACTAGGTCTTCTACGCTAGAATATAGGATTAAGTCTGAAATTTTATAATGTGCAATTAGTAAGATATTGAAGGCACTTCAATCTATGGTTGAGCGATTTGGGGAGAAGGCAGAACATAGATTCCCTCCTCCCTCCAGCCCTCTCTCTGGCCAAGCCAGGCATCGTTCCAGTTTGTGCCCTGTGGCTCTGGCTGAGGAAAGCCCCCCCCCCCACGCATGAATCCAGGGTTCTGCCTTGTAGTAACAGAATAACATTTAAATGCCCCTTTCTGTTGTGAAAAAGCCCCGTTGGGTACTTCAGAACGTCTCTCAGAGGCCCCTGGGACATATTCCAAGGCCACACAGCTTGAAAATGCAACAAAAACAGGCAAGGGGCATCGCCCCTTCCAACCTGGTGCCGGTTGGGCTGCAGAGCCGGAAAGAGGAACCACAAGCTCATTTTTACCTCTTTCAGAACGGCCTTCATCTCCTCCACATCTCCTTCAAAAGCTGCCTCCAGCATCCGTTTTCTCCGCTGCTGCTCCTCTCTTTGCTGCTTCTTTTCTTCCTCTTCTTTCTTTCGTGCCCGCTCAGCTTCTGCCTGCTCTCTTTTCACTAGAGCGACAAAAGCCTGCACCATAGACAGCCCGGCAAAGAGAGCCTCCTGGTGGTCCCTTCAGAGCCAGGATGCGGGGCTGTCAGCCAGCCAGCCAGCCAGGCCCAAATGGGAAGAGGGAGCGCTCTTCTCTTGGTTGACTGGACACACCCAGCTCCTGCAACCCTTCATCCTACGGTTTCGCCTCCAGCCCCTTCGTCCTCTTTGTTGCTCTTCCCTGCCCTCTTTCCAGAGTCTCAGCATCTTTTTTGTATCATAGCAACCAGAACTGGATGCAGGATTCCAAGTCTGGTCTCACCAATGCGGTATAAAGCAGTACTATCCCTTTTCGTGATTTCGATGCTATCCTTCTGTTGATGCAACCTAGGACCACATTGAGGTTTTTTTGGGCAGCTGCAGTACACCACTGGCTCACACTTAAATGGTGATCTACTGGGACACCTAGATCCCTCTTAACCGTTGCACCTGCTGAGCCAGATGCCCCCCATTCTATATCTGTTCATTTGGTTTTTCTTGGCTAAGTGTAAAACTTTTCTCGCCACTGAATTGCATCTTTTTGGACAGAACCAGGATTCAATACAATTAGACATCCTAGCCCACAAAGGTGACTGGGGTTCAGCCATCTGCCAGCCAGCATTTACACAGAATGGGCTTCCCTGCTTTGCCAGGGCCCTCCTGCCCCTCACCTCCTTTTGGAGGTGATCCATTAATTCTTCATACTCCCGTCGCTGCTTCAGTCTTCGCTTTCTCTCTCGGCAGGCCAGGATCCGACGGAAGGCACACTGCAACGTGAGCGCGGCTGCTGCCTCGTGACTTGGGCCTGGGGACAGAAAGGAGAGGCCCAGGGCATCAAGTGAGATTCCCAGGGCCCCGCTGTACCTCCTTTCTGCTACTGGGGAGGGGGGAATGACTTCAGGGAAAACCAGCGTCAGCCAGCTTAAGTTCCAAAGAGCCCAGCAGATGGTGAACTGGGCACTAGAAAGTCAGCTTTCAGATCTTTCAGAGGGTCTTCACTGGGTGATTTAAGGGCTCCTGAAAAAGCTCTCTTTAAGTTGCCCAAAGTCAAGCCCCCCATTTATGGCATTCTAAGATCCATCTTAGCTGATGCTGGCCTTGCGGGTCCTCCCTCATCTCAATTACAGCCTGGCAAGGGGATGGCTTGGGCCTTGGCCAACTGGATCCAGGGTCATCCTGGATGGATTCTGCCAGCTGGGACATAACATGTGGCCTGTATTGTCCTCTGTATTGCTCTGTGCCAGGTAAAGGGCATCAATGCTGGCCTTTTAGATGTCTTTTCTTTTTTAAAAAAACCTCTCTTTTCCAGCCAATGATTTTCAGAAACATTGCCATGTTCAGGGCCTCTCCTCTGCACTCTTTCAGTTCCCCAGTAGCCTTCTTATACTGTGGTGTCCAGAACTGGACACAGCATTCCCGAGCATGCCTGTCTATGGAGGGATCGAGGTGTTCTGGAGGACCAGCACTTAGTATGAGCCAGCCGTGTGCTGCAGCTACCAGAAAGGCCAAGGCAGTCCTGGGCTACATCAACAAAGGGACAGCATCAAAATTATGAGAAATAATAATGCCGCTTTATACTGCAGTAGTGAGGCCACAACTGGAATGCTGCTCCAGTCCTGGTTGCTGCAATAAAGAAAAGATGCTGAGGTCCTGGGGCTATGTTCAGCACCCCCCCCCCCCGGCTTGGGAAGAAACCCACGTTTTTAGGGCCTTATAAAAGGCTAAGTGGGTCAGTGCCCCCTCCATCCAAGACCAGAGACAGCCTCCACTGGACCAGCAACCCTGCAGGCATCTGACTGAGAATGAAGCCCAGTGATTTTGTCTTCCAGAAAATCAGAAAATCCTTCTGCGTGCCCCTTCAGGTGGACCTCTGCATGCTCCTTCCCAGCTCTCCTTCAAGAAGGTCACTGGCTGATTATCTGCAGGCACAATTAGTGCAGGGAAGTACTTGCACTTCTCTGCCCAAATCGCCAGGAGGCAGCCCTGAACAGCAGCTCTTACCAGTGTTCAATTGACTTCATCCCTTATCTTCCACCAGCAGCACTCTAGACGTTTCATCCCCCTTGCTTCCCTCGCATATCATGGGGGAGGAAGAGGTCTATGGGTCAGGAGAGGCCGCAATCCTGTCCTGAGCTCGGCCTTCCAAGCAGTGACTAAGAGCTCGGCAAGACTATGCAGCGATTAGTCATAACCCCCAGTTCCTTCTGAAACCCATCTGGGCCCATCAGTAGCTGGTAGGTCCTGCCCTCCCGCAAGAGGGTGCAGCTCACTGCCATTACATGGTGATCTGACCCTGAGACGGCACCAAAGGCAGGCCCACCAATTCCCTTGGCACTTGTAGCTTCTCCTGTCCCCCCACCCACCCAGGCTTGGGACCAGAGCTAGGCCTTTAGAGCTTTAGGACAGGCCAAGAGGGTTGGGGCCCTTCTGGTGTCCAAAGGGAAGATGTTGTTCCACAGAGTAGGGGCTGCTGCAGAAAAAGCTCCCCTTCTGATCCCTGCCAGCCGACGTTCTTTGACTGACGATCTGCAGCAGGTCCATTCTGTTTGACCAGGTTGGACAGGCAGAGATTTTTTTGGGGGGGGAAAGGTGATCTCTCGGGTACCCCTGAGGTACCCAAGCCATGCAGGGCTTTATAGGGAGCCACCAGCACCTTGAATTACACCCAGAAACACATCAGTAACCACTGCAGCCCACGCAGGAGTGGTGTTACGTGTGCCGTGCATCTGGAACCAGTGACTGCTACATGGCTGCCTTCTGGGATCCCCACGTAGAGTGCGTTACAGTAGTCTAGTCTGGAGTTTACAAGGACATGAGTTACTGTGAGATTTTTTTTTTATTTGGCAGGAGCTCGGCCATTTCCATTCCCAATTATAGACAGGGCAAGTGCCAGGACAAGACCCCGTGCCCACCTACCTACCCATGGGATGGCTGCTGCGGGACTCCTGGCGGTGGGAAAGGTCATCTTCTGGGGCTGCCTCTTCCCCATCTGTTTGGGGGCCTGAAAAGGTCACAGGGAGAGAGAAAGTTCAAATGTAAACCAGACGCCACCCACAATCCTCGGAAGTCCCCATTTTCTAGACTAGGATGACCTGAAGAGCTGAGCGAGGCCGGCTGCCAAGGCTCAGTCCAGGGGGACCGAAGTCCCTGCAAAGTCCCTGGGCACCTCATAGCTTGGCCTCTGTGAAATGCTCCTCCAGTCTCTCGCACCTCCCAAAACTCCCCTTTCTTCCTTGCTTTGCACGGCCACATTTTAAGTATCACAACAATACAAAGCTTGGTGAAAGAAAGGATATGCCCAGCGACTGGGCCGGCGTTTCCTGGAAGGAAATTCTCTGGTCAGTTTATCCAAGAAATGAAGGAAATTTCAAGGAAAAGAGGAAGAGGAGGGCAAGTACCACTTCCCATTTGTATTTGTTTTTTTGTTTAACTTCAGTGGTTACCCGGTTGCTAAATGAAACTTTAGGCTGCTAACAAAAATTAAATAAATAACATAAATAAAATAAAACCACACAAATAACAAATAACAAAAATAGTAAAATAGTTTCTTTCATGATGTAAGGACAAGAGTTTGGTCTGGTCGGGAGGTGGCCAGCAAGTGCAGGTAGACCTTCACTTATGACGATTCACTTAGTGACTGTTCAGAGTTACAATGGCACTGAACAAACTGATTCATGACTGTTTTACCCATTATGGCTCCAGCAGCATTCTCCCCCCCCCCGTGGTCACATGATCAAAATTCAGATGCTTTGCAACTGAAGCATATTTATGATGCTTGCAGTGTCCCGGAATCACACGCTCTGCTGTGGCTCCCAGCTTGGAGCCAGCCTCCAGGCTGGATGAAGGAGAGCGGCCTTGTTGCCGAACTCCTTTTCAAAACCCAGATACCCTCGGCTAATCCAGCTCAAAGCCCAGGCACCGAGACCCTTTCTAAGGAGTCAAGGGCCCTCGCCAACTAAGATGCCCACCAGTCAGACAGCGGAGCCCAAGGCAGCTGGCTTGCTCTCCCTAGTAGCACGTTCAACTGCCGCCCGCCAGTTCCCTCAGCACAGAATCTCTCAACTGCACTGGAGCCGCTGGGCTGCTCCTGCCTTCACCCCAGATGCCTCAACTGAGCACAGGGGCAACTCCCCCTCCCCCCGAGATTCTGCTACCAAAGCCTGGGCAAAAGTCATGCTTTCTTACCCCTACCCCCTTCTACTTTCCCCTCAGCCCCTTCTACAGCTCTTGGTCACCCCTTGCGGGCCTTCTGGCTGCCCCTTCTTTGGGGAGCCTGCCCAGAGCAACCCTTCCCCACGCCCTGCCCCCCTGCTACCTGGCTTCCCAGGGGCTGCTCCGGACGGCTTGGCTGGAAACGTCGGCTTGGCTCCCTTTTTCACTAGGCTCCTCCCGGCAGCTTTCTTGGAAGTCATGCTCCTAAACTGGGGGGGGGGGGATAATAAAAGTGGGGAGAGGGGATGATGAGGAGATGCCCAATTGAGAAAGCCATTGCCACCATGCATTCTGAGGCAGATGGTCATGTTATTCACCAATGCACCAGAGGGCAGGACAAGAAACAATGGTTGGAAAATGATCAAAGAGAGAAGCAACCTGGAATTAAGGAGAAACTTCCTGACAGTGAGGACAACCAACCAGTGGAACAGCTTGCCACCGGAAGTTGTGGGCGCTCCATCACCGGAGGTTTTTAAAAAGAGGCTAGACCACGGGTCGGCAACCTGCGGCTCCGGAGCTGCATGCGGCTCTTTGAGCCTTCCCATGTGGCTCTCAGCCTCCTCTGCCTTTGCAGAGAGAGACAGAGACAGAGAGAGGCAATTGCGATTCCCTGCTTCTCTCTCTCTCTCTCTCTCTCTCTGTGTGTGTGTGTGTGTGTGTGTGTGTTTGTGTGTGTAAAAGAGAGTGCACTCACAGTGTTCTCCGAGGAGCTGAAAAGCTTTCTGGACGGAGCTCCTCCCTTTCCTGCGTCTCTATAGGAAGCAGGAAGCAGGAAGGGCAGGAGAGAGCTAGCTAGCCCAGCTAGGCTGACTCAGGAATTCTGGGAGTTGAAGTCCATGAGTCATAAAAGAGACGAGGTTGCCTACCCCTGAGCTTGTTGGACAACAGCTTGAAGCTTGCCAGGTGAGCAGCAGATAGGAGAGGGGGGAGAAAGAGAGAGAGAGAGGGAGGGAGAGAGAGAGAGAGAGTGTGGGGGGGGGAAGAGGAGTGGTAGACCAAGGGCAGATAGAGAGGGAGGGAGAGAGAGACCCTTTTGACATCTAAAATGAAGATAACACTGCATATATCCTTTTTTTACCTGTGTGTGTATGTAATTTTATTCTCTTAAAGCATTCTCTTGGTGATCATTGTTTTAATAGTATGGATATTCCCAAGAGTCATATTTTTACTTTCATTTTTAATGTGTGTGTGTGTGTGTGTGTGTGTATACATACACACACACACACATACACAAACACACACACACACACACACACACACACACACCTATAATAAAGGTAAAAAAGGATATATGCAGTGTTATCTTCATTTTAGATATCAAAAGGGTTTTGCGGCTCCTGGTGTTTTGTTTTTGGTGGGAAATGGGTCCAAGTGGCTCTTTGAGTGTTTTGGGTTGCCTACCCCTGGGCTAGACAGTCACTTGTCTGACATGGTATGGGTTCTGCTGCTTGAGCAGGGGGCTGGACTAGAAAACCTCCAAGGTCCCTTCCAGCTTCATGTATCCTATCCTATCCTATCCTATCCTTATGGGCAGCTCCAAGCAGGACTGAAGTGAACAGTATTCAGTAAGGCAATGTGGGGGAAATTGCACACACAGCAAACTGCCATGCTTTCCCCCCCACAAACCTCATAACCTTTTGATACCCTTTGTCCTAGTGAAGCAGCCAGAAGGTCATACCCTTTTGACTTAATGCCTTACCTATCTAAACAGATAATATGCTTAGTTCCTAATCCTATCTCTTCCTGTCTTTGTTAGTTCCTTCTGTTTTCATCTACCTGTATTTGTTCTTACCTGATCTTTGACCATGTAATGTGTTACTAGAAAATAGTTGCTTACATGAAGACATTTTCCAGTGAAGAAACCTTTGTCAGCATTTAATGGTAAAGCCTATGTATGTAACAAGTATATAAGAAGCAATCAACTCAGAGTTTGCCAAGCTGTATCCTGCAGCTTCAAACCTCTGCTCAAGACATGCCTGCGTCTTTTTCTTAGCGTCCTACAAGGCAATTGATAAAATACACCACAACCTACTAAGCTAGAAAAAGGTGGAATAGACAATATCACCACCAGATGGATCTGTAGCTGGCTGGCAAACCGTACTCAATGTGTAATGCTCAATGGCACTACATCCACAGGTAGAGAAGTAAGCAGTGGGGTATGACAAGGTGCTGTCTTGGGGCCAGTACTCTTCAATATCTTCAGAAATGACTTAGAGGGAATTGAAGGGGAACTCATCAAATTTTCATATGACACCAAACTGGCAGGAGTAGCTAACACCCCAGAAGACAAAGGATCCAAAAATATCTTGACCAACTTGAAAAATGGGCCCTGTGTAACAAAATTAGTTTCAATGTGGAGAAAAGCAAAATTTTACATTTAGCAGGAAAAATCAAAGGTACAAGTACAGACTGGGCGAGACCTGGCTTAAAAACAGTAACTGTGAGAGGGACCTTGGAGTACTAGTGGACAATCACTTGATCATGAGCCAACAGTGTGCAGCAGTAGCCAAAAAAGCTAATACAATCCTGGGTTGTATAAACAGAGGCATAGAATCAAGATCATGCAAAGTAATATTACTGCTTTATAAAACCCTACTAAGACCACACCTGGAAAGCTGTAGACAATTTTGGTCACTATATCACAAAAAAGTTGTTGAGAGTTTGGAAAAAATTCAGTGAAGAGCAACTATGATGATCAAAGGCCTGGAGACTAAAACATACGAAGAACGGCTGCGGGATGTAGGTTTGGCTAGTTTAAAGAAAAGAAGAAACAGGGGCAACATGATAGCAGTATTCCAGTATTTGAGGGGCTGCCACAAAGCTGAGGGGGTCAACCTATTCTCCAAAGTACCAGAGGGCAGGACGAGAAACAACGGTTGGAAACTGACCAAAGAGAGAAGCAACCTGAAATTAAGGAAAAACTTCCTGACAGTGAGGTCAATTAACCTGTGGCACAGCTTGCCCCCAGAAATTGTGGGCACTCCATCATTGGAGATTTTTAAGAAGAGGCTAGCTAGACAGTCACTTATCTGAGATGGTATAGATTCTCCTGCCTAAGCGGGGGGGGCTGGACTAGAAGACCTCTAAGGTCCCTTTCAGCTCTATTCTATTCTATTCTATTCTATTCTATTCTATTCTATTCTATTCTATTCTATTCTATTTCACTGAGCTCCGGAATGAAATGGTTGTGGATGACAAATGGGCGGAGCCATCGGGGGCGGAGTTAGGCGTTGCGATCCTTCTGCCCTGGGAGTTCAAAGCAACGGACTTTGGTCGGCCTCTCTCCCCGGCCATCCTCCCCACAGAGCGGAGGGAAGGGAGGAAGGGGGTGTTGCAGCCTTCGGCGCCTGCTCCTCCGGCCGGATCTTCCAGGACCTCCCCCTGATCCTGGCCCTACTCTGCACCGGCTCTGCCTTTTTGGACTCCGATGCTCGGAGCGGCACAGGCACCTGCCAAGGCCTGGCTGGACTCCAGCAGAGCAAAGTGGGCGGGTTAGCTGATCGGCACGCCCCCTCCCCTGCCACAACCAGAGGCTGGCGGCGCCCCCCCCCCCCGCCCTCCGCAAGGCAGCGGACCACTTCCTGCAGGCGCCTCGCTCCGTCCGGGCGTTCGTTTGGAGGGAGCCACGGAAGGCTCCCCAGGCATGCCCCGTTGGCTGGCCGCCCTGGCGCTCTCCCACGGGCGAGACCCTCCGCCCGACGCGGCGGCGGCCTCCGATCCGCGGCTCAAAAGCGCGAGGGCTCCGCTCGGGGAACACCTACCCGGGAAGCCTCCCTGCCGGCCAGGCTCGCGCGCGCGCCTGTGGTCGTCGCCCGGCAACCAGCGCGCCCTCTCCGCGCGGGCGGGGCTGGGCGCGCTGGCCGGCGGCGGTCCCGGTGGCCCTGCAGGCGGGGAGGGGCGAGTTCCCGCTCTTGGCTCAGCCTCCGCCTGCCCCGGTTCCGGCGGCCAGAAGGCAGGTCGGAGAAGCCCGCCGGGAGGAAAGGCCAGAGAAGCGGGACAGGGGTGGGAAAGACGACTAAGCCCTTCAGGGACACTCCCCTCCGCGCGCCGCCGCCGGGGCCCTTCATCCCCGAGGCCGCCCATCGCCGGACTGGGAAAAAGCGCACTTAGCAGGAGTAGTTCCCCCGGCCCCGCTGTGGAAAGCCTATTCAGACCCTGGCCAGGAGAGCGGGGCACAGGGGGCTGCCTACCCCATGGGGGCTGGGCCATCACCGGGACGACATTCCCGTTCTCTGTTGCCTGGGCTCCAAGCTACCCCTCCCCCAACAAAGGGGCTAAAGATTTGGCGGGTTCCTCCTTTCCCCTCTCTCAGCTCTCCCGGAGGCAGTCTTCTAGTCCAACCCCCTGCTCAAGCAGGAGAACCTCCTATACATCCAGCCTCTTCTTAACAAGCTCCAGTGATGGAGCAACGACAACCTCTGAAGGCGACTTCTGTTCCACTGGTCGATTGTTCTCTCTGTTAGGAAGTTCTAGGTTGCTTCTCTCCTTGATGAGTTTCCACCCATTATTTCTTGTCCAGCCTTCTGAAAAATGAGTTGACCTCCTCTTCTTTCATGGCAGCCCCTCAAATACTGCAATACTACAGTACCATAATGTCTCCCCTAGTCCTTCTTTTCTCTAAACTGGCCATAGCTAAATCCTGCAATCATTCTTTTTTTTATTATTATTAAAAGTTTTTTGAAGTTTTACAGAAGAAAAAAAAAATCCCCCTCCCCAAACCCTCCCAACCCACCCCAACCCTCCCCCAACCTTCCCAGAGCTGAATATAGGCTTAATTAAAACTTAAAAGAAAAAATTTTAAACACTGTAAACCATAAGCAATTAATTACAATAATTAAACAAATTATAAAATACTTTAAAGCCAATATATAAAAAACAAAACAAAAAGAAAAATTATATCTAAAAATACACTACTTATCTAGAATTTTCATTCAATCTCCATAATATCATACTTATATTATATAAAATCTATCCCTCTTTCTTTATCATCAAACTCAAAAATACACATATAAACTATATACCATAAACAATTAATCACAATTAAACAATTTATAAAATACTTTAAGACCAATATAATCATTAAACACATTATAAAATACTCTGAACATTTTCTAATATCATACTTATATTATTCAAAATTTATCCATCATTCTTTATAAACACCTTCAAAAACACACATATAAACATTACTTATAACATTAAAATTCCCTTATACATATTAAAACAAAACATTCCTTTAAGTACTCCTTAAATATCTAAACATACGCTACCTATCTAAAATTTTCATTCAATCTCCATAATATCATACTTATATTATATAAAATCTAATCTCTCCCTCTTTCTTTACCATCAACCACAAAAACGAACATATAAGTGTTAGTTATACCATTAAAACATCTCTCCTCTTTACCAATAACCAAATCCTTTTATCAATCTCTCTTATCCAAAAGCCTCGAAAGAAGTGCTTGGAAATCTGCCCTTAAAGGTTGCTCCAAAAAGTTTATAAATCTTGCTTCTCCCGCAGTCTCAGAAACGAATACTTGTGAGGCTTCCTTAAGCTCCTTCTTCTGTTGCTCCTTTTCTTTACGTTTATGTGTTGCACGAGTTATCCTCTGCTCCTTCATCTCAACTTGTTGAGGCCCCTCGATCTGAGATTTCCCAATTTTCATCAATATAGGCTCTTCAGACTGCAATTCTACCTTCCTCTCTTCCGAAAAGATAGATGGCAATGAACATACCCCCAAGACCGAAGTGTAAAACTCTTTTGCTTTGAAAACAGTGTTAAGTCTATAACGTGTCCCCAGATAGTTCACCACCATTCCAGTCGGGACAGCCCATCTGAACAACATTTGTTTCTTTTTAAGCTCATCTGCTAAGAAAGCAAACTCCTTTCTTCTTCTTAGAATTTTAGATGGGATCTCCTTTAAAATTATAACATCTTGTGAAGCAATCTGAAACCTCTTATTGTAAAAAGCTTGTATAATTTCATTGCGCAGGGATCTTTTCCCAAAATAAATCACCACATCTCTTGGCAAATTTCTTTGCTTTGCCACCACAGAGTTAACTCTAAATGTTTTTTCAATTGCACTAAATATTTCCTCTTTTTCTCTATCCAGTATCACAGCAAAGTCATTTGCAACCATCTCTCTCAGATCTCCTTGCAAAGACTCCCTCAGGCCTCTGATTCTTAAGGCATATTCCATCTCTCTGTATTGAAGCATAAGAATCTCATCTTGAAAATTTTCCATCTCTTTTTCCATACCTTCAAATTTTCCCTCCAACAGTTCCACTTTCTCTACTACCTCTTCTACACAAAAATTCAACTTTTCAAGAACAGAGGCAACTCCTTTTAAAGCCAAAACTATATCTTGCCTCAGAATCCTATTATTTTCCACTAAAATCTCTTTCACTTCTCCCCTGATTTGGGATATAGCATTTCCCATTATGTCTTGCAACTCCTTTACCGTTAATAGCTGTGCCAAAGAAGAGGGTGAAGCTGTTAATTTAGATTGTTGCACTGATGATATCACCGAAGAAGAGACCACCTTAGGAGCTGTGGGAATTACTGGACGCTTTGGAGCCATCTTAAAAAATCTTTACTCCTTCTTAAAAATTACCCAAAAAGAGAAAAAAAAAGGGGGAGGTCAAACTAAAGTCCAAATAAAATACAATAAGAAAGAAAAGAAAAGAGAGAAAAAATAATTAAATAAAAAAGTCCATTCCATTGTTTTTTTTTAAAAAAAGTACAAAAAACAAAAAAAATCCTTCAAGAAATAAAAAAAGTTAAACAGAAAGGGAAAGTAATCCTCCTAAAATCCAAACCCAACATCATTATAAATAATCAAATCCATTCCATTCTGTTCCAGTCAAAAAAAGAAAAAAAAAACACCAAAAAGCCTGCCGATCGCCATTTTACTTTCCCTTTCAGCAAAAGAAAAAAACAAAAAGGGAATAAAAGTAAATCTTTAAATTTAAAATCCAAATAAGATCAGAAAAAACAAAATCCTCTACTCAGCTCTGTCCGCTTTTTTAAAGAAAACTCACCAGATCTCTTTAATCGCGGAGGTAGTTGCAGCGGCTTGTTTTGTCCCTAGAGACAAAAGCAGCTGGGAAGCGGAGACAATCCGAACTCCGTGGGAGCACTTTTTTCACCCCCCAAAAGAAAACCTTGGGGGTGCGTAAGAGGCTCTACCACTATTCGGATGATACTCTTCTCCCTCCCTTTGCCTGGGAGGGAGATTTTGAACCGCAGAACAGCTGATGTCTGCTGTTCATAGCGGTTCTTACACTTTCCCAGGAGGACGGCTACAAAGTAGCCGCCATCGCACGCGCAAATCCACCGGAAGTCATCCTGCGATCATTCTTCATATGTCTTAGTCTCCAGGCCCTTAATCATCTTAGTTATTCCTTTCTGCACTGTTTCAAAGTCTCAACATCTTTTTTGTCATGTGGTGACCAAAACTGGATGCAGTATTCTAGATGTGTTCTTACTAAGGTTTTATAAAGTGGTACTAATACTTCACGTGATCTTGATTCTTTGCCTCTTTTATACAACCAAGGAATATATTAGCTTTTTTGGCTGCTGCCGCACATCACTAGCTTATGTTTAAGTGATCATCCACTAGGACTCCAAGGTCCCTCTCACAGTAACTTTTTTTTTTGAGCCAGTTTTCACCTAATCTGTACTTGTAGATTTGGTTTTCCTGCCTAAGTATAGAGCCTTGTTTTTCTCCCCATTAAATTTCATTTTGTTGGATAGGGCCCATTGTCCAAGTCTGTCAAGATCTTTTTGGATCCCAAGCTTGTCTTCTGGGGTGTTGGCTATTCCTTCCAGTTTAGTGTCATCTGCAAATTTGATGAGTTCCCCTTAAATGAATCCCCTCATTTAAGTCATTTATGAAGATATTGGAGAGTAAGATGGAACCTTATGGTACCCCACTGCTTTCTTCCATGTGGACCATTAAGAACTACTCATTGAGTACAATTTGTCAGCCAGTTACAGATCCATCTGGTGGTGATGCTGTCTATCCCACATTTTTCTAGCTTACCAAGAAGTAGGTTGTGGTCCACTTTGTCAAATGCTTTACTGAAATCTAAGTATACTATGTTCACAGCATTTTGCTGATCTACCAATTTAGTTGTTTTATCAAAGAATGAAACAAGATTGTTTTGGTATGATCTGTTTTTAAGAAACCCATGCTGACTTCTAGTTATAACTTTGTTTCTAGATGTTCACAGATCTGTTTTTTGATTATCTTTTCCAGTATCTTCCAGGTAGATGTTAGGCTGATTACTCTGTAGTTTCCAGGGTCTGTTTTTTCCCCCATTTTTGAAAATGGGAACCACATCGGCTCTTTTCCAATCCTCAAGGTAATTCCCTGGTGTTCCAGGATTTTTTAAACATATGGTACAATGGTTCTGAGATAACATCTGCCGACATCTGCCAATTCCTTCAGAACTCTGGGATGTAACCCATCAGGTCCCAGAGATTTATATTTGTCAAAATCAGAAAGGTGTTCTTTACTATTCTCTTACTTATTTTCATTTTTATTTCTAATTTGTCTTTTGCAGGTTTTTTTTTTTTTTTGGTATGTTGGCCTATAGTTTTTTTTTGCATGAAGACTGATGCAAAGAATGAGTTAAGCAGCTCTGCTTTCTCTCTACTGCCTGTTACTTCCTTGCCATCTTCTCTCTTCTATTTCCTTGACTTTTTTCTCATTATTTATATGTTGAAAGAAACTTTTTCTATTATCTTTGTTTCAAGTCTTTGTTCATTCGGAGCCTTTGATTTCCTGACTTCATCTTTGCATTTTGGGGCTATCTGCTGATATTCTCTTAGTTATATGTCCCTCTTTCCATTTTTTGTACTTGTCCTTTTTGTCTTTCAGTTTATCATAGAGATCTTTGTGCAACCATGCTCATTTCTTCTTGGATTCCTTGTTTTTCTTTTTCAATGGTATTGTGATGGGCTAGACTTTTATTATTGTATTTTTCATTGCTTCCCACACTTCTTGTTTTCTCCTTTAGGATTTTCATCCATGGAATCTTTCCTAAATGCTCTGAGTTTGTTAAAATCTTTTAAAGTTTAGGATACTGGCCGGATTATGTTCTATTGCTTGTGTTTGCATTATATTGAATTCCAGAATGACATGGTTACTCTCGCCCAAGGTTCTGGCAACTTCAACTCTCTCTATCACTTCTTCTCTATTAGTAAGTACTGGGCCCAGTACAGCTTTTCCTCTAGTTCCCTCCTCTATCTTTTGGGTGAAAAAGATGTCGGCTAGGTTGGTTAGGAATCTGTTCAATCTCCTACTTGCTGGAGACTTTATCTCCCAGT